TTGGGGGATCAAAACTCTTAACACGTGTAAACATTCTAGTCGAAATCGGCAATAAGGCCAGGTGGATAAATATTGGCATCTGCATGACCAACGCGGTGTGATCAAAGCTAACACTTCTATATTCTATTGCTAAAAACACTAACCCTTAGCAGTAATGGAGGGATTTTCTTCAAAATAAACAATGGTGCACTTCATAGACAAATGAATTGAATTGCACCACTGTATTTAAAATTACCAAGATGTACTCCGTAGAAATCAGTGTTCAGAACTATTTAATTAAAGCGCCTAAACAATGCGATCACGAGTGCTAGCCGAATATGCTAATAGAAATTCTCTTGTCTTTCACACGGTTATATAGTTATACTATGTTATATAGTTATAGTATGTTTTGATATTTTATGTGGCTTTTCAAATATTTACTCATAGGCTTATACCATTCTTTGACGCTTTGGAAAATTTAGCTACCCAAGAACTGTTGAATCTGCTTTCAAGTATGGGGAAGTTAAATTTCGAATCGGTTTGGGATATTTTCAGGGATTTTTACTTATGTGTCGGGATTCTATGAAAATCATAATTACGAGAGTAGTCAGAGCTGACCAAGATATAACTGCTTTTTGATGCCTTTAACCTTGAAGTAAAATCGGTTTGTTTTTGCGTATGAAAAATGTTGATACCAGCTCATCCATGTTGAAACATTATATAATTGTATGTCTAGATGTTTATTAAGTTAGAAATTCAATTCTTTTGTTAAATTCCATCGTTAAAAGGCACTTCCATTTAATGATCAAAATAGTTAATAAAAGGTTCATGATAAAAGGCACTTCCTTTTTTAACTGTACTAGAAAGAAGTTTACATTGCGAAACGGTATTTTAATATACTGTGGACTCCATTATGGTCAGTACAAACTGAACCAACTCAAAAGATTTTTCTCCGGCATAATCAGCGGCAGGTTGAGTGCACCACGAACACCTACTTGCTATGAGAAGAAAAATAACCTCGCCTATAAAATAGATCGTACGAAACTTCTTAAGGCCATCCTCGCCAGTAATAAGAATACTAATATTTAAGAAAGAAATAAATTAATATCAAACGATAAACCTCAATCTGGTCCGCATCTAATGATTTCCTGAAAATTCGTTGTACTTTTTGTCGTTCAGGGAACATAATCCTTTAATAATCAGTTCCCAGGTAAAATAATGTTTACTTTCTGGTCAGACAAAAAGGAGCTACACAAAATATTTACCCATTAGTAAATATCAACACACGATGAACAGCCGCACAGAGACTAAAATAATCGCATTACGCAGAACAAACATCATGATCTACAAACTGCGAGATAAAATGAAGACAAAATAGAACTCATTTTATTTAATGAGCCAAGTTTAGTTGGTGCCCGAAAAATCCAAATTACACTCATCGATGGAGGTATAGGGGTATTACAGGCAGCGTGCCTCGTTTTTTTACAGCAATTACAGGCTACATTATTTTGTTGACAGGAAGAATTTTTCTCATGAGCATAAGACGTACATCTCTACAGGACATATAGATAATATTGGACTGCATCAAGTTTTGGGTTAACTCTAGGTATGTCATGGTTGTGATAACATATAAATATATATTTCGTTATAATATGACAGCATTTTCCTAGAAAATAATATTTATGAATTGTGAAATAAATTCAAATACTTGACCAAAATTTGTAAGAAATAATAATTAAATGCACCGAAGATAAGACCGGCTTTAAATTTGAGGGGCCCAAAAAAGGTAAAAGAAAGTTTATGAGAAAGTCGTACAGCAAGTAAAAGGTTGAAGCAACTAAAACATTTGATTTCAGTTCAAAATTTAATTACTTAGTATGCAGCGAAAGAGCGAATTAATGATAGTCATATCGGATAGGGCATCTTATAACTAGCACATAATTACTTTCCTGATTATTATTACATAAAATTTTAGCTCAAAATAAGTTTTTTTATCATGCCCACAATAAAAATCGACTACTCTGTGACGAATAAACTAGCGACAGGAACAATAAATTTTCCCGTGTAATACCTTGATCGATTGGTTGACTCTGAGCAGCAAAGCAATCTGTTTCACGCAACTCTATAAAAAACTGTTCTCTTTTACACGTTTCCGCTGTCCTGATAATTCATTTATATCAAATAAAGTTTCGTAAAATTTTTGTTTCAATAGCCTCAAGGACATTTAATTTTATCTTCTGTACTGTACTTTAAGCGGATACCTAGATTAATTGGAACCTACTACAAATATAAACAAGCGTTCATTATGATTAATTTCTAAAATTATTTCATATTTTCGAGAAGTATCACAGCGAGCAGCTCATCTACCGGTAGACGTATCGCTTAAATGATATTTTTACTAATAATACGCACAATATAGAGATGTTTTTCAGCTAACAGAGGCAGTTCTATCTAAAGCAAAACTTACCTGGAGTGGCTGACGCAAATTATAATTTGGTGAACAAAATATACACCAACTTCCCTATGAAGATGATGAAAGACCAACGCTTGGCGGGTTCGTGATGCCGCGAGCAATAAACGCACGCAATGCACAACTAAATGATGACTGGATGAGTTTTCCCGCGCTTCTTGAAATTTACTATTCACGATCAATCATATCAAAACTGACCAACTGTTGGAACATTGATGTCTTTGAAAAATGATCTAACTCTTCGAAAAAATTTCGTTGAAGTCTATTGGAAATAATTTTTTAAACTCGAACAATTTTTTATTTAAGATTCAGCTGCTTATAAAATGTCCCAGCGGTTGGTTGAAAACTTCGGTAAGAGATAGCTTGTATCTAATATGAATTAAAACTACCCACCATGGGAGCGCAGCCGTGCACCACCAATTTTGTGCACCAATAAGCCCTGAATCGAACGCCTTGGATCTATCCGCACATCCACCAATCAGCCGCGAACCGCTCGGCTTTGTCCTCCTTCGGCCTTGCATAAAACCTGCCGTGCACCACCAGGCCGCGGACCGAATATAACTTCCGGGCATTGTTAAATTACGTAATTTTACGTTCGCTGCATCTGAGGTTAGGTTTCAGATAGCATAGTTCCGTTCCAAAATTTATCGTCCTTCGACGAGTGGCCGTTCGACCGAGGGCTGCTTCGACGCACGGCATAGATACGGTTGTCCAGAAGTGTTGAAGGCTACGTTCCGGAAGGCAGGAATCATGATGGTCCATTACATCCAGGGCAGTGGAGGTCTTCGGCAGGCAGCCCCGTATCATTAGGTAAGGCTGTGCAAGTTTTGAAAAGAAAGGAATGAAATATTTTGAGTATTTTTGAGTGATGCTGTTATAAATGTAGATGATCTTCCTGTTATGCATTTTTTTTATTTTGCAAACCACTGCCAAATAGAATTTAGCTTGGTTTACCTGAATTAATGTATTTGATTATTAAATATCACTCAAACCCGATTGTCATATGTTACGATTCCATCTTTCTTCCAGCTTAGGCTTCTTCAGTTCTTTTAATCTTGTTTACAGATAAAATCTGTATCCCAAGCAATCAGCTAAAAAAGTTTTAATTTCCTATTTTTAGCACTAATTTGTAGAGCTATAGATTAATTTTTTAATTTTCATCCGGCTCATGTGAATTTGCTTCAAAATTACGAAAAATTTATTAGAATAGGGTCCTCTTTTTCCGTAATTAAATTTTCTCGCCTTAATTAATAAACAAGAAAATCTCCACGGTAGCATGAGTAAAAATTACATTTTCCGAGACCTAAATTTGTCTGCAATTATAAAACCTGACAAAATGTTCCTAGGAAATTATTTCGTAAATCTGTTATTGACAATTTCAAGTTCATTTGACGCTTAAAATTTAAAATGATTGACACCTTTCATTTCTCAAGTTCATGGACATTTGGTGCACCGGATGGCGGGGGCGGACCCGGCCAGGCCCACAGGCCACAGGCCCTGACTCCTGAGTACGGACGGTACGGTTACTTTTTCTTCCACACAAAAACCCCTTTGTGAGAGCATGAGGAAAGATTCAAAGTAAAGAGGCAGTTGAGTTGGAGTTTTCAAGAAAAATAAAGTTGTGCTCAGGCTGGGAGGTGTGACTGTTTCACACCCGAAGTCTTAAAATTAAAAAAAAAAGGTACGGTTACTGAGTAAAAATGGGAGCGCAGCTGTGCACCGCCAATTTTGTGCACCAATAAGCCCTGAATCGAACGCCTTGGATCTCTCCGGACCTACACCAATCAGCCGAGCACCACTCGGCTGTGTCCTCTTCCGGCCTTGACAACCACCTGCCGTGCATCATCAGCAGTCCAGCACCACACCTGGGCCCTGCTTGGATTGAACTGGCATCTCTCTGTGATAATTGTGTGACTCTGAAGTTCTGAACCACTGACCAGTGACCACTGTGCCAGTGGTCGTGACTACTGACTATGAGCTTGCATAATTTTAGTTTGATTTGTAGCAGAGTTAAGCTCATCTAATTTTATGTGACATTCAAAACATGAAGACTCTAACAAATAATTAAAAAGAATGATTGGTATTAAATTTGGTATTAAATTTACTATTTGGTATAAAAGGGAAGATCTACAAACGTCACTCTGTCGTTTTTCCAATTTCGTTTTAGTTCGGATTTTATTTTGCAAAAAGTGGGGAGGGTGGGGGTAAAATAGAAAAATTTCAAAAAATATCTGAAAAAATGCTGCCACACCCACAAAATTTAGAAATCCAAAAAAAACCGCTAAGTGACGTTTTTAGATATGGTCTTTACGCATTGAATGATATGTGTCTCGATGTTGTACCTTGAAAATCCTAGGAGGAGATAGATTTCTACGGTACCCCCTTTTTTGGCCATTTTCTATGAATTTCACGTTTTCTTTCATTTTTTTGAAAAATTCACACGAACAAAAAAGTCTTGATTTCAGTTTTACATATGTGTAGTACCAAGTTTCAGAGTGATCCGTCTGTAAATAGCTGAGATAATTTTTAGGGTAGACTCTCCCCTTAATCTAGCAGTTGGCCAGTTGCCAAGTGAGGAGATATTTTTCACTGGTCATAGTTATAGAACATCATTACTTATATAATTTATGTTCAGTGTGTGTGTGGTCTGAATTTTTGTACAGGTTAGTGAAGTTCTCTTTAGGAATAATATAACCAAAATGGGGCGTAACCGTGGTGGTCGTGGTAGTGGACAAAGAGGTTCATCATCAACAGCTGCCAGAACACAGACTCGCCAAAGTAGAGGAAGACGTCAAACTACTAACCGAAGGGAACATGATGGTGATTTGGAGGAACGCTTCTACTCACAAATGAATTTGTCTGGTAATTTATTTGCTGGATAATCTATTACTTTTTCTTAATTGCATATGTATATATCTCTTTGATTCAGTTTGCAAAAATAAGTCATCTCAGTTTTTGAACTTACAGGGATCACTTGTGATGTAAAAATATAAATAAATAAATGAAATATAATGAATTAATGAGCAGTGTTTTTTCATAAGAAATATGTTTTATATTTTTATTGTAGTTCTACTGTAAACATGGGCTGATGCCTGATTGTAGGAATTGTATGTATATAATGAAAAACATCAAATTTAAGCAAGATTTAACAACTTTTTAATCATGTGCATATCAACTGCAGTTATTCTCTACTTGGCTGTGGTACTATTGAAAATAGTTTCTCTGATAATATTGTGTTGCATTACTGGAGTATTTTTTTAACATTTAAAATATTGCCTTTGTCATATCTAATTACATATAATCTATCATCCAACTTTTCACTTTACATCATGAATAAATATTGTGCCTCTACATAGATACTCAAATATAATAATAATAATCACAATTTTGTAATTGAGTTTTTTATTTTTGAAGTACATTTTTTTTCAGAGGAGAAGGCTGAGGGCTGTTTTGAAAAAACAAAGGTAATTTACTGTTATCTTAACTGTGCTTGATATACAGTGATACCATGTGTTAGAAATACATCGATATTCTCTCAATATATGAGTTGAAATGATTTATTGTCATTTCTAGACTTGAGGCATTACCATATCTATTCAATAAGAAGTAAAAAACACGTTTGTGTAATGATCACCAATTTTTGGCCATGTATATGTAGTATGTATATTATGTATAAATTAGTTTAATAAAATTATAAAACTAAAAGTGAAGAATTTAATGAATAATTCTGCTCTCTTCAATGTATTAGTTGGCTATTTCAAAATTTTACCATCTGTTTTTCACTAAATGCTACTCAACTGTTATGACCCTTTATTTAAATTTGTATAAGGTTGAGGCATTTTCTATCTTTCCATGCAACAAAAACAATTAACTATATTTCATGATGCCACTCACAGAAATCCAAAAAGAAACATGAGGTTGTATCCTCAGATACAGAAGCCACAGATACAGCCAGTGAGACTGAAGAAAACCGACTTGATGAAATTAGTGAGCACACTGAAAGAACAGCTTCTGCTAGTTACGTTCCTGAATCAACTGCTGTTACACAGTCTTGTAAGTCTGAACAGCGTGAAAGTGATCAATCTGAAGAGGAAAGTGACTCCAATGAGTCGGAAGGAGAAACTGACTCCAGTGAAGAAGAGGAAGAATTTAGCATATCATATAAAGTAGCTATGTGGGATCTAGGCCACTGTGATCCTAAGAAATGCTCCGGGAGGAAACTTACTAGAATGAATCTTGTTAAACTTTTAAAACTAGGGCAAATGTTTCCTGGGATTGTTTTAACCCCTGTTGGGTCCAGAGTGAGTAACTGAAAAGTGTGCTGAATGCATTTAATATTTTGCTATAGTTTAATTGTATAATTCAGAACTATCATTATGTGTCAGTTGCATGAAATGCTGTTCATCAAAAAAGAGATACTTGATATGCTTATACAGTACTTCAAGTATTTTCTTTAAATCAAAGTTGCCAATTCAATTTTCTGTCCAATCACAAGACATTTTTATTTTTACTTATTGATATTGACATGAACTAAATGCAGTAAATTACATTAATAGCATTGGTTTTCTGAATATTTGGGTAAAACAAAACATGTTTTGTAGTCAATTGGTTGAACCTTATTTCTAGCATGTTACTTCTTATTTCTTTCGTCATCCAAGTTAAATTGCACATTACTGCAGGTGGTGTCGCCTACTGACCGGAAGGAGCTCCTGCAACACGGTGCTGCCGTCGTGGACTGCTCCTGGGCACGTCTTGCAGACACACCCTTCAAGAGGATGAAGGCTGGGCACCCTCGTCTGTTGCCTTTTCTTGTGGCCGCCAACCCCATAAACTACGGACGGCCTTGCAAACTCTCCTGTGTTGAGGCACTTGCGGCTACCATGTACATTTGTGGTACGAGTTCAATTGTGTCAAAACTTATATGCTATTAGGTTCTTGCTGCTACCATCGTCAAACGGGGTAATAAGGGACGGGCGGGGTAGATCGGGACAGCCGTCCCACATTTCGTAGAAATGTTGTAGCAGCTATACTAATCGAAATATTGCAAAACTAAAAACAGTGGCGTAAAGTTCAACTTTTTTACTATCTGTAGCAAAAAGCAAGTTAGGAAATCATACGTTTACTACCTTTAAAAAATCCCTGAAAAAAGTGTGAAAAAGTGCGATTTTTGAAAAGTACCTCTGCTAAGGTCTGTAGCGAAAGAAAAATATTCGCCGTATCAAAACATCTTACTTACATAAAAGTTGCACACAGGAGTTGGCTTGAAAACGCGATTGACGGAATTTGCCTATGATGCAGCCTATCTCATTAAAAAAATGGCGGCCATTTCCGCACGACGCGGTAATAAGTGACACCCCCCCTACCCGATTTAATTAGGGACACCTCTAAAAATGTATTTACAGTAGAACATCAGCAAAGGCTCCAGTTAACCAAAAAATCAGTTAACAACAAAGAATTTTGATTAAATTTACCTTGCTCACCGAAAAAATTTCACTGGACGAAAAATTAATGCATCATGGTCATCACAAAATTGTGCATAGAATGTCATAGATAGAAGTGTGCACCGGGCAACATAGAAAGAAAATCAATTAACCTAAACTGTGATTTATTTCTTCAAAAAATATGATGGTTTTCACTAAAATATTCCTTTCCGTTTCAGGCACGTTTTTATGATCGTTTTAGCGCATTTTCTCATTTATGGAAAAATGCACTATTGTGCTCGCCATGTTCGTCTGTCCGTCCGTCTGTCCGTCAGTGACTTCACGTTTTCGTCGACGAGAAAATGCGCTCTCTGTCACTCACTGCAGTGAGTACTGAGTTATATTTTTTTGTTATAGTGAATTCACTTGACCCAATTAAAATGGTGTGAAATTACAAGCCGTCCTGTAAGCTTACAGGTACAGAAGAAATGCTATATGGCAGCTTATATGGAGCTTGCAGTGGACAGGGTCGTTTTAAATGTATGGAATGTCCATGGATACGGTAGTATAACATCAATAATACGATACCGTAATGTATGGATGTGGTAATATCATATCAATAAAGGAAAAACAGGTAAAAATCACAGAAATGTCATTTATTCTACATCTATATAGGAAGAGGAGGATTTCAGAGTACTGTTAGTAATGGATGAGTACACTTTGCATGCTTCAAACGTTTTAAAATTTAGTTTTTTTTCAAGTGTCCCGGATAACCCCGTTCCCAGAGCTAATTCAGGACGCTTTTCTTCTGTGTCTGGCGCCTTACGAATAGCATATGAATTTTTTTTGAGAGGCTATTCCACAGCCCTCGCAAACAGCTTTGAAATGAGTCCAAATTTATTTATGAAATGTTCATAGTAAGAAGTTATTAACGAAAAACGCTCAAAACCGTCCCTTGTTACCCCGTTTGACGGCATGTACATTTGTGGTACGAGATTATTTATGATGAAACAGTCTCTTCAGTTTTGCTCTATGCTATGCCTAACTATTTCCTAAGTTATTGAAAGATATTTTTAACCAAAAAATTATAGCACTGGTCAAAGGTGGTTACCACAGATTCACCACAAATTAAATTTATACTCTGCCAATTCATTCCAAAGTCTTTGAGATCTGACCGCCATAGAGGACCAGTATTTTTGTATATACCAGTACATTTTTGAGTATTTGACCATCATTGAGGACCATGTGTTTCTTCTTTATTTGACCAGCCGAATCAATTTCGGAGCAGAGCGACCAGAGCAGTTGTCATTCTGTTACAGGAGACCAGAGTGCAGCCGAGTATTACTTAGGAAAATTCAGCTGGGGCCACTCATTCATTTCGCTGAACAAGGAGCTGCTTGATCGCTACGCTGCGTGCAAAGACAGCGCTGAAGTCATAGCAGCTCAGAGCGCCTACCTCGAGCAAGCTGAGCATGAAGCCACAGCAAGACGTCGTAAGTAAACAAGCTTAACAGCAAGACGTCATAAGTAAACAAATCCAGTAGCAAGGCGTCATAAGTAAACAAATCCAGTAGCAAGGCGTCGTAAGTAAACAAATCCAACATCAAAGCGTCGTAAGTAAACAAATCCAACAGCAAGACGTAAGTAAACAATCTTAACAGCAAGACGTCATAAGTAAACAAATCCAGTAGCAAGGCGTCGTAAGTAAACAAATCCAACAGCAAGACGTCATAAGTAAACAAATCCAACAGCAAGACGTCGTAAGTAAACAAATCCAATAGCAAGGCGTCGTAAGTAAACAAATTTAACAGCAAGACGTCATAAGTAAACAAATCCAACAGCAAGACGTCGTAAGTAAATAAATCCAACAGCAAGACGTCGTAAGTAAACAAATCCAACAGCAAGACGTCGTAAGTAAACAAATCCAATAGCAAGGTGTCGTAAGTAAACACAGCAAGACATTGTAAGTAAACAAGCCCAACAGCAAGACATTGTAAGTAAACAAACCCAACAGCAAGACATTGTAAGTAAACAAACCCAACAGCAATACATTGTTAGTAGACAAACCCAACAGCAAGACATTGTAAGTAAACAAACTCAACCATGACGTTATAAGTAAACAAACCCAACAGCATGACGTTGTAAGTAAACAAACCCAACAGCAAGACGTCGTAAGTAAACAAACCCTACAGCAAGATGTCGTAAGTAAACAAATCCAACAGCAAGACGTCGTAAGTAAACAAACCCAACTGCAAGACGTTGTAAATTAAATAAACCCAACAGCAAGACGTCGTAAGCAAACAAACATAACAGGAAGACGTCTTGCGTTGATTAAGGCCAAAAGCCACCCATCGATATACGCGTCGTATGTTAAATATATACTACGTTAAAACGTCGCGAGTTGGATGTTAGACGTGGTGAGCTAAATACATGTGACGTCGTAAGTCGACAAATTTTACAGCCCGACATTGTATTGTGAGTTACACAATCCTTACTGCTGAACGCCACGAGTTTACAAACTGTATTGTGTCGTAAGTTGAATAAATTTGAAGTTAAAGAAAACTGACTGCTAGACGTCGTGTGCACCGAGATTGATGTACGCATGATTGTATTTATTATTTTTGAAATGCCAATTGCTTACACAAAAGACGAGTCGCTGATGTACGTATATTCTTTGATGCAAGTCAATTTTCAGTGGTATTTTGTTGAATTTATGGTTTCTATAAATTCTAAAAAGTAGCAATATATATCATTATTGTTGTCATTTTCATTCTTATTTTGTTGCTAATTTTTTTGTTTTTCTTCACTGCTGAATTTATTGTTACTTCACTGGTTCCAATTTCAATTCTTTCACGTACATGCATTTATAAATGAAACTCTAAAATATTTTCAGGTTGCGTCGACATGCCTCCAAAAATAGACTCTGAAGAAGAAGAAGACGAGCAAGAAGTTTCCAAAGAATCTTTAACCTCCATAAATAAATCTAATATTGACGAACGTTCAACCGCTGCGTGCGGATCATCGGCAGTTTGAGGGAGAAGTTCATAAGTAGCGAATCGTCCGTTTTGAAATAAACGTGTTTAAAGCATGTCCGTGTACTCCTAGCCTTCAAATCCGAGGAGGAAAACTTGTTTTGAGGAAGACAATTTGTGAGGGAGAATTTCTGCGAACGTCGTTCTGACTTCATGCCTGAAAGTCTATAAGTTTTTCAAAGAATCAAATTTGTTATTTTTTGAGATAGTTAACAAGAAAACTTACAACCGCTCAAAGGCTTAGAAATGTCGTAATATAGCTTTTGGTCCATTGAAACCGTAAGATAGATATGCGGAAAATTAAATGAAGTTCATATCAGAAGAACTTAGTCATTTTCACGCATCGAAAGTTAGTATGGAGATAAACTTTCGCTTTAGATACATGTGAATTTACAAAACTCGACATTGGTTATTGTTTCAACTGCTATATAATTATTACCTCATTGCTGGTTATAAAAACTTGGAGCAATCATCTAAATTGAGTTGATTCATACCTGCGATGTGACCCCATTCCCGGTTGTTTCAAATGTAAATCAGAAGGAAATTCCATCACTCTAAAAAAATCGAAAACTCTTGCTTTTGGAATCTATTGATGACAGGCTTGTTGAAATGAGTCTCCTAAATAATACCTATCCTAATGTGGACCTCGTTATCATTGAGCAGGGTTCCAAGTTAAATAAATATTACCTAACGTTTGCATTATCGTCTGTGAACACATGTTCACCGTTCTGCCAAGTTTAACTCATTGGTCGTGTAAATTGTACTCACTTCAGCTAGTGTGCCTTCAAAGTTCATTGCCCCTTAGGAGAGAGCTCGCCTAATGAACGCGTCCTATGGACCCTTGTCCGTTTTGTTATTGCTACGTAGATTATCGGATGACAGATCCAAGTCTGTCATCATCACAGTCGTTGACAGACCCGTCTCAGTTCCTAACGCGGCATAGCTACTCTTGAAGCAGCAAATAGAGCTGCAGGGGACTGCAGTCATATCAAAGAAAAAAAAATGTATACAAGTTTCATGGTTTCGATAATGACACTCTCTTATGATTATTTCGTCATTATGATTTGAGCAGGAGTTGGTGTGTTCTAGACGTACAGCTAAGAAGCAAGTACGAGTGATTTTTCAAACGCAATGGCCAATGTCCACCATAGGCATGAACCGGAAAACCCGTTGGGAGATTCGATAAAGAAATGATTAGATAAGAGCGTTGTCTAAGAGTAAGTAACTAATCGACAGAGTTGGGCAGCGCTACTTCGAAATGTAGCGGCCGCTACCGCTACATGCTCTAAATGTAGCGGGCGCTACCGCTGCCGCTACACCCACCAGATTGTAGCGAGCGCTACCGCTACAGTAAAATGTAGCGCCGCTACAATGGCAAAAATTATTGGAAATCTCTAAATATTTATTGTTCTGCTATTGGGATTTACTCATAAACATTTAATACTAATAAAACATTTTCGAAACATATCAATGCAACTTTAATGCAAATAACCTAACCGAACTAGTACGGGTTAGATACAGCAAATAAAAATAACTGTGTAAAAATAACTGTAAGAAAACTGAAACATGAAAAAATATCTGTAAGTGGTAACTGGTAACAACTTAACTAACAAGTAACAACTAACATGTTGACATTAGAAACAGGCTGAGGTTGACAACATTACACCGCAGCTTTTTGCACAGTTTAAACTGTAATTTATATTACGTATGTATCATGTGGTTTTTAAATAATATTTAATACTAATAAGTAAAATCTAAAGGCTTTATCTATAAATGTAGCGGTAGCGCTGTAGCGGTAAAACCTCGTATCGCCACTTAAATATGTAGCGGGCGCTACCGCTACCGCTATCGCTACATTGTCTTAAATGTAGCGCCGCTACCGCTACTGAAAATGTAGCGGCCGCGACATGTAGCGCGCTACTGCCCACCTCTGCTAAAATAATCGATTGTGACTTTTGAAATTAACATTCATATGCAAACATTACAAAGGAAGGTTTTCTGCAACTTCTTCGGATTTTTTTGTATTGTTTACTCCCTTATCCTTCTTGAATCTATTTTTGAAGTTTCACGTTGCATCATTGTCATGTCCAGCAAGGCTATGCCGACGCAGCTGAGTTGACCATAACGCCAATGAGTCGCTGAGAGAGGGCAAAGTACATTGCAATTAAAATTGATTCAGATGCAGTTGCTAAAGCTCTAGATTTTGATTGGATCTTTCAATCAGATAAGGATGTTTGAGCATGAGATTATGAAACATGTTCCCATGTCGAAGACCGAAAGTACGTAGACTTTTCAACGTTTATGAATTGGTCCAGCGACAGCAAACATCGCATTCGCCAAGCATTCTTTAAAACATGATTCTTTAAATCAATTCTGGTCTAATACCAAGAGCAATTGGAAGAATATGTGTTACAGTTTTAGCGCATTTTCTCATTTATGGAAAAAAGGCCCTTTTGTGCTCGTCATGTCCGTCCGGGACGGACGTAAGAAAATGCGCTCTATGTCACTCACTGCAGTGAGTAATGATCTAATTTTTTAACATAGTTGGCATATTGCTCATTAATATATGGTTCTATTCAAATCGTAAATCTTTTAATTCTAATTCCATCTGGAAAAATGAGAGTTGCTTCACATTGAATTGGTGTGTAAAAATATCATCCATTCTAAGTTCTAAGAGAAATTAATGTTAGCTAACATTGATCGATAATGATTTTAACGCGTACTGTTATTGTTAATTATTCACAATTTTTTCCAGTGACGCAAAATAAACTAATACAGTAAAAAATATAACTCAGTACTCACTGCAGTGAGTGAAAGAAAGCTCATTTTCTCGTCGACGAAGTCACGGACGGACAGACGGACATGGCGAGCACAATAGTGCATTTTTTTCATAAATGAGAAAATGCGCTAAAAAGCATAAGTGAATGAAAGAGTGACTTTTTAGCATGAATGTTTTTACTGATCACAGGTTTCGGTACCTGTCAGTTCGTCCAAAGTCCGTTCAGAAGATGATGCAATGCTTACGTTAAAAAGTCAACATGCATTGTAATCGATAGACGCGGCAACGTAAACCCGTATCCTGTGGACTCTGATAAAAAACAGTCAACCGAGTACGTTCAAGACGCTTGATGTTGTTTTTTAAAAAATACATTTGTTTGAAGTTTATTCCTAGAAGATCCATCTTCATTTATTAGAATTTTTCCATAAATGAATCGCTATTATTGAACCATGGGAACTAATATTCAAATCTATGTTAGTGTTCATGCCATATCAGACTCAGCTTATCTCTGGTTTAAGGACCTTAGATATAATTCGTGGGACCGACACTCATGAGATATATCACAGGGACTGACTCTCTTAGCTAAACAAATTTCCTTAGCAGCAATGTTGTGTACTCGCGACAGGAATGATAAGCACAATCTTATCACTGTAGATGAGTTTGGTGAACCGTGCTTACTGAGTACAACATATATCGGATGATGGAGTGGAATGACAGGTCGAGCGCTTTAAATTTGTTGGTTGCTGGCCTAATTTCAACGGGAAAACTCAATATGCAGTTACTTCAGCACCACGCGTCATTCACATAGTAGACATTTACCAAGCAATACTTTTATGCATCTTCTTAATAATTTACCACAAAATTCGGATCGTGCGGAACTTCCTCGAATAATTAACTACACTTGTTTCTATATTCTCCGCTGATAGGTGGGATTAAGTTATAAGGGTCATATATTAATTTCTTTTACATGAGTAATCGGGTTACAAAACAACCTTCTTCAGTGCTCAATTAAGCGTTTTAGTTAATATCGCAAGATTCAAGACGAGAGTGCTAAAACAATGAGTACGTATTTAAAGTTTAACGCGAGTTTCGTGCATGGGTTTTAAATAAGTTCCGGCTTTATTTGGTCTTCATAGCAAATTCAGAATCAGGCGACAACAAATCCCATTGCAATGCAATGAAAGCTAAATTGCGAGTTCTCGCTTCCAATTTTTCCAAAATAGAAAATTTTTTATTAACATCGAATTCGAATATTGATGAATGTCGTGACACTGCATGCAAATGCGTAAAAAAGTACCTATTTTCACAAAATCGCAATTTTTCTTTAACTCCAGCTCGAGTTACATATTACTCTGAAGAATAAGACGAACGACAATGCAATATTAAAATATAAACGCTTATTGATACTAGATTTTGTGGCGTTACTTCACGTGAAGGAAGGCAATTTATCGGCCGATTGGCGACTGCTGATAATCAGCTGATAGCGATTGGCGACTTATTAATAATTTTTAAATAATATTCACATTTGATCTTGGCAATAAATTATATATGCACAAAGAGTGCATAATTACGTTACTATGCAAGTTTCATTGAAGACCAGAGAGTATTTCTTATTGACAATTTTCTTATTGTTTTTCTCTATTCGGCGAATTAGGCTCTTGATAGGAACTGAAAAGTCATATATCAGGTTTCTAAGGGACATTTTATTAATTACGTTACTAATGAATGTTACGTGACTGTGGGAAACCTAGTAATATCTGTTAATTAAAAACTGCCTGGCATCGCTAATTGTTACTTGTATTTCCATGTGGACACGCAGCATACTGTAGTTGTTCGTTGTAGTTGAATGGTTCTTTCTGAAAAATTTTCACGGAGACTTGTCATGTATGTAATTTAAGAAAACACTCGAAGACAAACGTCTCGGACGTCAAATCCTGCTTGGCATAGGAATAATTAATCGGCACACAAACCATTTTGTTCTAAGCGTATTTTTTAATAGTTCTAAGAGAAATGGAGAATTTTTTCAGTTATTGATGTTACTTAAATGTACTGGTAAGATGTCTAAAATTTAAAAAAAAATTCAAGTACTACCAGTTGACATATATTTGTGTATATGCGATAACAGGAACTTTAAAACAGAATGACAATGATTTGTAAACAGACATCTGTAAAACGAAGAATGAAGCTGTGAAACCAATTATGAAGACTCCATTTCTTGCCTGAGGGTGTGAACAGAGGTGGGCAGTAGCGCGCTACATGTAGCGGCCGCTACTAGCGGTCGCTACATCTTCAGTAGCGGTAGCGGTAGCGGCGCTACATTTAAGCAATTCTAGCGGTAGCGGTAGCGCCCGCTACATATTCAAGTAGCGATACGAGGTTTTGCCGCTACAGCGCTTACATTCAGAGATAAAGCCTTTAGATTTTTCTCAATAGTATTAAATATTATTTGAAAACCAGCATGATACCTCCATAATATAAATTACAGAATAAAACTGTATGAAAGATTTCGGTGTAATGTTGTCAACCTCAGCCTGTTACTAGTGTCAACATGTTAGTTGTTACTTGTTAAGGGGAGCGTCTGGCCACTTTTTTCGGCTGTTTACAGATGGATTACTTTGAAACTTGGTACACCATTGTGCAACCGAAAATTAGACAGCTTTTAATCATGTCAATTTTCGAAAAAAATGAAAGAAAACGTGAAATTCGTAGAAAACGACCAAAAAGGGGGGTACTGCAGAAATCTATCTCCTCCTAGGATTTTCAAGCTACAACATTGAGACACATATCATTCGATGCGTAAAGACCATATCTATCGATTTATCTTTGCGTTTTTCGAAATTCGAATTTTGGTGGATGGGGGAGCATTTTTTGCAAAATTTTCGAAGTTTTTTAGATTTTCTCCCATTTCTCCCCCTTTTTTCAAAATATTTTCAAAACTATAACGAAATTGAAAAAATGCCAAGATAAATCGATGGATATTTTAATTGCGAATCGAATGGTATATATCTCATTGCTGTAGCTTCAAAACTGTAGGAGGAGATTGGTTTGCCGTAGCAATAACTGTGAATGTGCAGGAGAGCCCGACAAAGTCCCGCGCGCATTGCAATAGGCACTCAATGTAGCAAGGATACGAAACTAAACGTTACTGGAGCTCGATTCAACTCAAGGATGGTGGGAGCGACTGCATGCACACCTCAATACCCACTGCAGTGAGTGACAGAGAGCGCATTTTCTCGTCGACGAAAACTTGAGGTCACGGACAGACGGACGGACAGACAGACAGACGGACATGGCGAGCACTATAGTGCATTTTCTCTATAAATGAGAAAATGCGCTAAAAAGTGTACCGCTTCCGTGAACAACATGTTATTCATATTCTTATGGCTAACATTTTCCTTGGCGGTTTGTTACCTGTAGCGGAAGTAGAAAATACTTTTCTTGTTTTTGATACCATGTTTTGAATTTTCTTTTCTGTTTTTTTTTTCTAGAGTCACTTTGAATTCTTCTGCAAGAACTTACCATGATTATCTCTTTTGTTCGATGTCTTTGGGAAGCGTGGACTTTGAATATATGATGGGAAAGGTGCGCAAACGCATTGCGAATTTCAGCTCTCCATCACAATTGTCACTAGTACCATTACCATCACAATTAGACATTTTACATCAATCTTCTGCAAATAATGAGAATTACTTAGGGAAAAATTAATTATTCGAGCACTTAACTACCATTCTTCAATATACTCATAGCGTAGTGCGGCAATATAAAGTACTCTGACAGCGAAGTAGTACTTCAAAGTCTTTCTGCATACGAATCAGTAGTGCGACACTAAACATTGTAGAGCTACCTACTTCGAAGTGCTTAGTGTCTGTGACGTATTTAGGAGTGCATAGTGCTACTTCGTAGTGCTAGTGCCCTATTTAGCATACGGGCCCGAATCGTACGACTATCTTTCAGATGCAGCGGAATCACTCAAACAATGCATATTATACTGATCCATATTATACCCAGATTACTTCTAGAAACTTTCATGTGCGTGTTACTCACTGCTTGCATTGTTACAGTTAAACAACATTCTGGATGTCTGCAGTTTGATACCGGCTTCCAAACTAGCTGCGGCACACAACCTAGGCTATATAAACCTACGTGTGCTGCCGCTGCTCACTTTACCAGTGGCCGTGCTAGTGAGAGTAAGGTAGCTTTTCTTTCTTCTTGTGTCACCAAGTTTCTGCAAAAATGGCTTCGCTTATTATTGGAAGCTTTACTCTTGTGAAATCCGAAAATTTCGACGAGTTCATGAAGGCACTGGGTGAGTCTTAATTGAATTTTCCCTTTACAAAGTTGCAAGAGAAAAAATTTCATCGGTAGGTACACTGAACTCTCAACTCTGTACAGTCTCACAGATTGTTTCGTAGCGTCCGCTTGAAATACTCTATAACGAAGTAGGTATTCTTCACTTACATACTTAGTAAGGATGTTGTTGCTGTTGTTTCTTTGCTTTGACGATTCACAGTTGTCAGATGGCTACCATTGGTATTTATATATCTAGGTATTATAGTACAGAGTGTACGTTTGCATTCAGAATGCTATTTACCTACCGTCTCCCTGACCCTGGTCTTCTCTCATGTTATTCACCGAATTGGCTTTGCCCATATATGAACTAAGTGCTTAATAAGGGTTTCTCGTTAAAACTTTCACAAATAAAATGTGTAGAAGATTTCATCAAACTCGGTCAAAGCTTTGTTTATTACAAGTCGAGATTGTTACTGATTAGCCACGCTCGTCGATCTTCTTGTCCGCATTACAATTTTCATGTCCATTTACATCAGCCACAGCCAGGGATTTTCCTTTGAAAACAGGTAACGAAAAGTTTAGTTTAGTTAGAGTTAAATATCATTTTATTCATCTAGAGAGCTTGTAACATTCATGAGAACTAATCGTGAGCTACATCATCATTTTTTCTTCTAAGACATAATGAAGCATCAGCCGCGTGCTGTTCCGTTCCTTTCACCTGTGCTGTCACCTCTTACCTTACTGTCTGAAGTTCAATAAGAGACTTTGTTGGGGTCGATTCGATTCAGAAATGCGTTTAACGAGCTCTAATACCATTGTTTTTTGGCAGTTCTCACACATTGAGAATTTGACTTAGCATGAGAAGTTTTAGTTACACTGATATCTTAAGTTTCATTGAATCGTGGCCTCTGTTGAAGAAAACAATCGGGAGTGTCATTCATTTATACCTCGAAGTGTCAGATGAACCTATGCTTTTGTATCATGTATGACATAGGTACCTTCACTACCTTGTGTCGATATTATATTCACTTGGCAGTGAATACGGTATACGAGTTGTAGTAGCAAGATTCATGCTACTTTGTACGGTTTGGCATTCACAATTTGTATTATGAATAGGATGAGAATTTTTAAAAATATTTATCAAAAAAATTACTAAGAATTAACTAGCACCGTACCTCGCACAAGACAGGATGAGCGAAGGTTTTAAGACTCGTGATTGAAAGATGTGCTGTTAGTGTTATATCGACGAATTAGTGGCTGAAATTAAGATCGTCTGACATTAATGTATGATGATGTCAATAAAACGAAGAATTCAATTTTTTTCGGATGTCGTGTAGTCGCTGCAACACTTCATCGATTGAGTATTATCTAACAGTTGGACCTATTTAAAACTTGAATGAAGATCTATTTCCCACCGGTCGTTCATTTTTTTTTGTTTGATCCACCAAGAAACATGCCTTCCGAGAGCGGCAGAACGTAAGCAAAGCTTTGATTTGTGCCGTCTTGAAGCTGTATATAGCAAACTGCTCATGCTTTGTCTGGTATCAACAAACTGATGTGAGGTGTTGTAGTAGTATTATTTTAGACGCGCAGACTGCTCCTCAAAAGACATAAAACATAAGACTGTAAAGTTTTTTTTTTGTAGCAGCAGCAATTTTCCTTTGTAGACGTTCGTTTAGTTTTTTTTTCTAATTATTATTAATCGTTTATTAATATTGCTGTTCAAACATTTTAGTTAATTTGTTAGCGTAGTATGTATATAGGTATGTGATTTTAGTAGCATTACAGATTGATTCTTTTCCACTTAGAAACGTTTCACTGAGAATTAAACCCACTTACTTAAATATCTGTCATAGGAGTTTAGGGTGAACATGATGCTAGGAGCATTTCGTGAAATTATTGCGTTTGTAGAATTCTCAATTTTGTGTCTAATTTTAGAAGCATTTACATAAAAAATTTCAAAATAAATGAGAAATATGTATAGGTAGCATTTAAAACCCCGTTCATTATTTTTAGGAACATATGGGATAACTGCAGAATGAACTCACAATAATCGATTTCTATTTGCATTTTAACATATTATGAATTGCAAGTTATTCATATATAACATAGATTAGCGGTTACCTAGCTGGTCCCATACATAGAATTTCTAATGCACGTGGGCGTGTCAATTTCTCGAGTACTTTACTTTGTCTCTCGAGTTCACATTTTTTGTTGCCTGTAAACGTTTGAAAACCACTACCGGTATTTACCATCCAGGCGTTGGTATGGTGATGAGAAAGATGGGGAACTCGGCGACTCCAACCGTCACCTTCACTGAAGCAGCGGGCGAGTACACCATGAAGACGGTCACTACTTTCAAAACAAGCGAGGTCAAGTTTAAGCTCAACACCCCCTTCAAGGAGACCACCATGGACGGCCGTGAAGCTGAAGTGAGTTGCATTAACAATTTTTCAACAGTATTTCCATTTTACGAACTTGTCTTTCTTGTTTCAAATGAGGAATTAGTACCTGGTTACAATTTATTATTTACCAGTCACATCATATTTTATGTATGCTTGAATACTCATGTGAAGTAATGTACTTTGTTATCTTTATCTCTGTTATCGCGAGAGATAGGCGACAAGTGCCTATTTTATGGTCGAAGACAGACTTAATATACAGCGGGATGCAATTTTTCGCTGAAAAATGTTCATCTTATAATAACTGCTTACTACAAGTTTTGTTTTTCGAACTAAGTTTTTAGACTTTTACGAGAAAATTTTTGTTTTAAAGTTCAAGTTCTACTTGCCGAACACACCTAACTACGCGGTGCGCACGCGTTGAAACGAAGGCTGATGCATTGGTGTGTTACGACTGCGTTTATTAAAAAAAAAAAAACGCGCGCTTGTTATTAAGGGCGCAATGATGGACCTGATGCATTGCAGTATTTCGTAATCGCAATTTATAAATCAATTAGATTTATCTCCTCATTTCATTTTCATGAAACAAATCGGTGAGGTATCTTTATGAACAGAATGACCGAGAGCAAACGTAGCAGCGCTCAGTTCGTCTGCACAAAAACTACCAGAAGGCAGAAACCCAGTTTTTTACCGACCAGTGCGGTCACTGCTTCGGTTGATCAGACGAAAAAGAAGATTGCCTAACTCACATTCTTGCTTGACATTTGGGCCAAAGTTGTTTCGAGAAAATGTAGAGGTTATAGGTATGTATGTAGAGGTATAACTTGCGCTCTGAAATGTGGCATCAATTAATGTTATATTACTACTTCCTTGGTTTACGATGCATTCATTTTCAGAGAATAAAATTAGTGGAAAATGTAACAACTCCTGAGCATAATATACCGTTTCTACATTTCGCAATGCCTCAACAGTACATTAATTAAAGTTTGGGCTATTCATATGTTTTCACTTTTTAAAGGCAATGTTCTCGATTCTGTCATGGTAAATGTATTGATTGAGCGTGTTTTCCTTCTTCAGTAAGTAAAGTTTTTGCGTTTAGTCAGGTCATTGTGCACCGTTGTTTTCCTGAACAAGTTATACACCGAGTTTGCTTAGTTATTTCAATATTTTCTAGATTTTTTTATTTCTGACTTATGTATTTAGATCTGCTGAAAACTTGTAAGCTTGATAAGTCTTAGCTGAAATTGATTTATGTTATTTTAAGACACGATTGCCCAAAAATTGTTGCGTGAATTTAATTTCGGATTAACTTATCTAGCGTGTAGATTATTGAACTTACACAAGCTACAGCATGACGATGCGATGAGAAGACATGGTAATAAACGATTACCACAGCATGACCTGTAATATTTACTGCAGAGAACCACATGGAGCCAGACATTTGTGTATAGAATAGGGGTTATTAACATATACCTAACTACGCATAATTTTTTCGTTTGCAGTCCACCTTCACTCTGGACGGGTCCATCCTTACCCAAATCCAGAAGGCGAGCAAGGGCCCCGATGTGAAATACATCCGCGAATTTACAGCAAACGAACTGATCACAGTAAGTCAGGGCCATGAAAAAGAATGTGTGACAATAACAACCGTCAGTACTAGTAACTTATTGACATTGCAGGGTAAGCTGGCTAATTTTGATGAGATATTTCGCAAAAACAAGTCGAAAAATCTATTGCCTATTGGATGTTTTAATCTAGTTTTTTTTTTCAGACGTGTGAAGTGGGTGAAGTCAAGTCGATCCGAACCTACAAGAGAAACTGAGCCCCCTTCCCTACTCCCCACGTATTTTCAGCCGATCCGCTGATGAATTTTTTTGTGAGAAATCATCGATGTAATACACGCCTGCAGTTTCCTTAACATAATTGGTAGCGATAAGGAAAGAAGCTTGGAAGTGGCGGGATTAGTTGAATAATTACTGTACGCACCAGCCGCACGATGGCTTTCGGAAGATCTTATCGAGCGGCAGTGACTGTCCAAGCGTTGGTGTAGCATCAGGAGGGAAATGAGTAAGCGACCGCAATGGGAAATTTTCGCCAAATAATTTAATCAACTTGAACTTATTCTTACATCGCTTGCTTGATGCCAAAATCAAAGCAATGCGTTTTTACTTAACTTAATAATTGTACAAAAAATACGAAAACACTCAACATTTGCCACTCCAATTGGCGAGACAAAGATTATAATTGGTCACGTAATAGGATCGATATTCGAGAATTTTAAGAATGAAGGAAACTAGCAAGGACTTGTTTACACTTAGGGCGCGTGATGTACTCAGTTATGTACTTATTCTTTCATATTCGTCGGCCATATCTACGTTAAAAATGATACTCGAGATATCGATTGAAATATCTCTATCTTTCTCAAAACGTTGCATTGAAAACAATCTCGTTTATAAGTATGTCGCAATATGATTTTAATATGTACATGTATGATACAAAAATCTCCAGAATACACTTAAGTCAAAACGGCAACATAAATAACTGCCCTATAGTACTGTACAAATGACTGGACTGGACAATCATGCTGTCAACGATCCGCGTTCATTGACACGCTGCGAAGTGTCGCTTAATTTTTCTAGTATCTTATCAACCGTTAGGGAGCGTTTTGTCGCAGTTGGCTGACGAAAGAATCTCTGTATCATTTGACGGAACGGGAACCTGGTTAGGTAACAAAGTAGAAGCTTCCTGGGAACTGTAAAGCGCCGAGTTGAGATCAGATTTTGAGGAGCATGACTTTGGAGGAATAATTGAAGTTTTTAAGTAGGTACTATCAGGTACGGTTAGCCGTGAAGTGTCGTGTTCTCGCAGGCGTTGCAAAGATGCTCTGAATTCTTGTAAAAGTGAAGTAGGGTAGTCGACAGCGTCGGAGGTCTCATCGTTTAGCATCGCAGGAATTCTAGAAAAGTGTGATAGACAAAAATACGACGGTTAGTTGGATGGCGCATTGCGATTAATGATGAATCAAATGAAATATAAGGATGACAAACAATTCAGAACTGCAATGCTAAAAAATAGTTCTTACATTTTTTTTAAGCCAACATCACAAACGACACGAGTCTCGTGCCAAATACGGCGAGTCAACTCTTGAAATTCAAGTCGAAAGTTCTCACGAATCTAGAAATTTATTCACTTTAAAGCAATAAAAAGTGTGTTAAAATTTCCCGACTATCAGTTCTGCCGTTTCTAAAATAGAATTAGTATTCAGAACTCCTGAAAATCAACTCAACCCATTTGGAAAATAGTAACATCTTTTCACTAATTCGTGTCATAGTGTTTTTCTAAAGAGAACTATAATAAAAGGAAAAACTAGGTTAACAAGTATAATCCACAGCGGTGCATATGCGTACCATAAATGTATTTCTCCAGGACGTAGTGGTACATAATTGAGGGTTGCCAGAAAAAAAAACACGAAAAAAATCACCGACAACAGTCCGCAAACAAAAAAATGTAACTCAGTACTCACTGCAGTGAGTGACAGAGAGCGCATTTTCTCGTCGACGAAAACTTGAGGTCACGGACAGACGGACGGACGGACATGGCGAGCACAATACCGTAGTGCATTTTTTCCATAAATGAGAAAATGCGCTAAAAAGACTTATAATTCAACATATGCTAGTATATTTGTAGGTTCCGGTGTAAAAATTTCATTTCTTTTTCATCATTTCTTTTTTTTATGAGTTTTTAGAATTTAATTAGGAAGTAAATTTTATCGGGCCAACGCAATTTAAACAACTAAATCGCGGAATTATTCCGGAAAAAAATAGACCGTCTGGCAACCATGTTTCATAATAGTACAAGATGAAGCAATCGGAGTCAACGTGTTAATGGGTTATTCCTCAATAGCTAACGAGATTCACCCGAGCATCGCACGCGTGAGGAGCATGAGGTGGTCAGGCAGTCGGTAGCGCAGACCGTGCACCAGGCCACTTAGGGACTCGCCACCGTCACTGTCGTCGTCCTCGAAACTGAAAATTTGATTTGATATGAAAGACACAAGGTAAACCAAACTATCAGAAACTGAAATTATGAAGTGCGAAATTAGTAATTTAGGAATTACATAGTTTCGACTGAAATAAAGTGGGTAATATATCTATATCTAATAAAAGGAAAGACATCATTCAAGCACAGTATATATAGAAAAACCGTTTGAAACTGAACTAACTTATGAAAAATAACACTAACCTAAATCAGATTTTGAATCGGATCAGAGTACTAGCTCAACTTATTGGAATGATTATGATTCACCAAATGATGAAAGAACGCTTACGAAAAAAAGCTGCTCGCACATTATAACCGTATTATCCCGTGCGCATAACAAAAAATTCTAAAGCGATTATTTCAGCATGGTACCCTTTAATGCATACAACTTGAATTCATAAAAGATGTGGTACGACTAAAAGACCTTTGTGTTGAATTACTCTAGCGAAGTCAACGAAACTATACCAGAAGATTAACAATTACCTGGCAACAAATACTTTAGAGTAATCTGCCATTAGGGAAGGGTCGTGAAGTAGCAGCTGCAGTAAGTATGAAAACAACTGTGCGTCGAGAGGAGAAGCTGCATCCTGAAGAGTTGCATTTGTACTGTCACCTCTCTGAACAGCCTCCTGCCACAGCTCTGCACCTTTACTGCTCACTATCAATACCTGTCATGCAGTGAACTCGTTAATTTTCAAGTAGTAGATAACAATCACATGTAGCAATTATTTTCATGCGTAGACCAGAGTAAGCCAAGTTGAACATTTAGACAAAAGACACGCCATAATGTGATATCCATCATACAACAGTGATCTGAACTTGTGCATGTGGTGGTCAACATGTATAATATAAGCTCCTTGACAATGGCTTTTACGAGGGGAATCCGGAAAGTAGTACCCATTTGGAAATTGAAGAAAAGGAAGTAAATATTAACAAATGTAAACATGTTTATTGAAAAGAACATGTATTACACTACTTCTCTACATAATCTCCGGACAAATATGAGCAGTTTATACCAGTGTCATATGCCATATGCTCCGCCGCCAGTGTTTATGTGATCGGCAAGGTGTACTGCTCATCGATTTCAGTACCCGTGGAGACACAATCAAAGCCAATGCATATTGTGCAACATTAAAAAATTACGGCAGGCAATTCAAAATCGACGGCGAGGTCTGTTGTCTACTGGAGTCATTCTCCTGCACGATAATGCCAGGCCGCATGCGGCTCTTATAACACAACTTCTCCAAAAATTCAAGTGGGAAATTTTCGACCATCCACACCACAGTCTGGACTTGGCTCCTTCAAATTTTCATCTGTTTTCGAAACTCAGGGACTTCGTGGCAGGGACAAAGTTTCAAAATGACAAAGAACTGAAAGAACACGTGACTGCGTATCTCAATACACCGGCGACGGAGGAATATGACACTGGTATACAAAAACTCGTGACACGAAACGACAAATGCTTAAATTTGTCCGGAGATTATGTAGAGAAGTAGTTTAATATATTTTCTTTTCAATAAACATGTTTACATTTGTTAATATTTACTTCATTTTGCTCAATTCCCAAACGGGTACTACTTTCCGGATGCTCCTCGTACATCGAGTCCATGAACGACGATTAAACGCAATCCAACACAGAAATTTAAGATCAATCATACTTGTTGAAAAAGTTTTGAAAAAGTACAAATTTTGAAAAAATTACGTCCGTTATCATGAGAGAGATAACAGCCGACTAAGTCGAATGAATTATTATCCTCAATAACAGCAAAAAGTGACGCTCCAGCTCTGCGTAGCACCGAGCACCTTAATACTCGGGCTGTGCAGAAGTAAGTACTCGAGTCCTGTGTTAGAAGCAGTAGTACTTCAATGCAAGAACAAGCTGAGTACAAAAAATTACCTTGATATTTGGGTTGTGAACGGCGGTGTAGAGCCAGCCTGCAGGGTTCTCGAGGATTCCCTCTCTCTCTAAAGGTGGTAACGATAGCAGGTCTAAGTAGTCCCATACCTGGCGAGTGTGTCAAGGTATGGTGTGAAAAATGAAAAGCCTTTATGCATGTAGTACGAAATATGTAGTATGCCTTCCATTATGAGAAGCCTTCAAGGAGGCTGGCTAATTCCAATCTCGTTACACGCTGGGAAGAAATATGAATTTAATAATGTAATATTTCCGAAAAAAAATGAAATAAAATTGGGAAATTTGAAATTACGGCAATAGGATTCGACCACGCCCGTCATCATCCATTCATATCGAGTCAATAATGAATAAAAACAGTAAGGGGATTTTGAATGCGAATTGTTGAACGAATTCAGCCGGTTATTTGTTACGTCCTCGTGCACAACCAGCAAATATATCAAAATGGATAGTAATAAGAAAAAAAACACACGGATAACGACAAGCGCTAATAATTAAAGGTAGAAAATATTATATTATTTACGAATCCTTTCGAATATACATTATATTCTGTTCACTGTAGTTTTCAGAGTACTTTTGGTGTGATCTAAATCAGTACATTTGTTTGCACGGTAGACTTACAGCAAAGCGTGAGGAAAGGAGCCGTTTGAACGTCGCGACGGCCGCTCCATGCAGAGCTCTTGTGTCGCCGCGCCGCGTCCACACCAGCAGCACGCACGGCCGGTCTTCAGGCGGTGACAGAGACACTGAAATGTAATACTAATATTCAATTTTAGAAGCTGTGCCTTGAATTTCGCTATTAATATAAGAATATTTGCGGGGATATGTTTAGAATAGGTAAATAGATGTTGGTATCGTTCGGCAAAAGCCTGTCTTTTATGCAAGTTTGATTGAATAGGAGAGTATGACTTTTATTAATAATTTTCTCATTTGTCTGCTCAACGAGTCGAACGAGATTTTTTGCTGGCGTAATCAGATCGAAAAGGAGGTCACCACTCACCAAAAGACATTTTCAATAGAAAGCGACGTTTCTAATATTCAATATTTATTATCAAGCAGGTGTAGGGTTTTGCAACACATAAAATCGGAATTTAGAAATGACAGTAGTACAAATAAAGGGTACTGTGGTTTCAGTTCGAAATCAAAATGTAAAACTACTCTGTAAATTATTTCAGCGTCCGGATGAATCCTGTAGTTTGCAAATTGATAGCTAGAGACTCGCTCTTGATTGTGAGGGCCTCGACTATCGCCAGTTTTGCAGCGTCGGGGCACCGCATAACAATCGGTGCTGGCACAGGTTTCACAGAAGCATGTCGCAGCATAGTAAAATACCATTTACTTATAATACTGTCGTCTCTAAATACCTAATTCAAGTGATGCAAAACCCTTCATCTGCTTGATAATGAATATTGTTTATTCGAAATGTCACATTCTATTTAAAATGTCTTCTGGTAACCTGCTTTTCGATCTGACTACGCCAGTAAGAACTCTCGTTTGACTCGTTGAGAATTTTAAATAAGAAAATTTTTAATAAAAAACATTATCTGGTATTCAATCAAATTCGCGTGAATAGATGTGCAAATTACTGTCGTGTCGACAAAAAAGTTATGCTGAAACCTGTGCTGGTGTGAAAGTCAGGCGAGCGAGCATAGAATATTTTCCGGAAAGCTTTCAGTAAAATTAAGGGACTTGATAGGATCACGTGGGAGTCGTACAATGACTTTAGTCAACTATTACATGTTCCTGAAACTATTGGTTTGAAGCCTAGAACTTGAAATAAATAGAGGCTGATCGAGAGTGTATCCACAAATTTCCTGTGAATAATATTTATAACAAGCTGTTGAATCACTGAATAAATTCAGATACTGAATTAAATCAGTGAATTAATTAATTATGATTACTTTATTACTTCATTAATTATGATTAATTATGATTATGATTACTGAATTAATCATAAAATCACGAGACACTGAAAAATTAATTGGAGAGTGAAAATTAAAAAATTGATAAGTAACTTTTACTATGGCAAGTGCGAATTTTATTCAGAAACAGTTCACTTTTATTTGAATTTCAAATTTGGAATCGATCGGGAGTTGGGAGGGTTGAACGGGTCTTTCTTTAAGTGGGTTAAGTAGAGTTATTTCGTTTCAGAATTATTTACTGGATTGGGAATGGCGGGATAATCATTCCGAGCAACCTGCTAAACTGATATTAGTCTTCTATTACTAAGCGACAATTTTAATCCACTATATTGATGCCTAAGGCACTCGTTTGGCTTGAGTAATATAATCATACCCTTATGATAATGCCGCCCGCGTGAGGTTGGCATGTTCTTGAAGCGCAGCTTCGCCCTCATCACGACGGCAAAGACGATAAGCAACAGCAACAGGAGGATTGCAGCAACTGCAGCGAAGGCTGCAATTGAGGCAGGCATCGTAGTGTTGACATCAGAACCAGCGTTGGTCGACAACAGTGCTGAGGGAGCTATAAAAGAGGTACATTTCTTTTAAAAACATCACTTCAGACGTAGCGTAAACATTTAGAACTTGACTCCATGGCTTTCATTAGGAATACAACGAGAGTTGAGCCGAGCAGTGCATTACAGATGAGACAGCTTACAATATTCAACAGCTCGATAAAAAAAATTAATTTGCTTATTCTTTCCATACTCTTTATTCATATCTATACTTGACATAAAATAGGATTTTATGACATATACAAATCTGAAATTTGTCGCAAGTGAAGACAAATATTGTTGTAGGACTGCGGAGCAATCTTATGATTTTAGTACTCATGTGGCAGCCTGAAAGTGACAAGTTTACGATATATTTTGACTTGCCATCGAGATGGACGGCGTGCGAGGCCCTGACGGCACAACCGTCTCTGGGACAGCGCGCGTCCATAGGCGTGACGCGCGCGCAGTACCACCCTGGCAGGAGGTCCTGGAACACGCCTACTGGCTGAGGAGGGAAGATGTCAATGGGTATGTGTTGTCCAAGATGATGTGATGTCAACATGTAATTTACAATTTGTAATAATAAATTAGGGTTCTTTATTGTTTTCATTTGGTAGGAATTGAAAATTTGTTCGGGTATAAATTGAGTGGTTCATTTTACTAGTGAATAGCGCTGAAACATTGGATCAAGAGTCTACAAGCTTAAATCTTTCATACTACAGGCATTGAAAGGACAGAACGAAGCTAGCTACTAACATTGTGAACTGGGAAATAAAATCCTATGCAACTCTAATATACCACATGGATTGGATTTTTATTGAAAAATTCCTGCATAAAACTTTGTACTTGCTGGATCTTTTCCCAGCATAAACCACGTAAAGACCCCAGCAAGCTATGAATACTGAAGACAATAACAAAGTAGCAGCTCTCATGGATGAAGCAGAAAAGTGTTCACCTCGTCGAGAGGAAGGCTGGGCGTGGGATGGACCTGAAGTAAGTCGCCGGTGTCAGTGTGGTAGCCGCTGCAGTTGAGGGGGCGGTCGGCCTGGTACCATAATTGCAGCGAGTACCGTGAGAAGTTCTGAGGGTATCGCGGCTGTGTCCACCGTACTTCCACCTCACTTCTGTAATCATTTAGTGAATAATAGAATAATAAGTGCGATATATTTACATCTCTTCCTCCAACAGAAGTTGTTATATTGCTATGGCATCACTAAGCTTGTCACAGGCTTGCATCTTACACCACTGCATATTAGAGACGATACCAGAATTACTGAGGCTGGCTGTAATAAAAATATAGCTTATAAGAAAGACTGTGATGACTAATATTTTCAGAACCACCCCTACCGCATGTCTGGGGAACTTTAATACGAAACTCTCAGAACTCGTCTACTAGGATCTAGATTGGCAGAGCCAGCTAGGTATTTCCTGAGCGCTGCAGTGTGAGCACATTTATAGAATGAGAGCTAAAAAATTGTTACAAGCAAAGCTATGAGCGTCATCTAGTGCTGTAGGTGTGAATTTTGGTTACTTACGTTGAAATAAGTTAGTATTATGAGTGAGCGTACTTACCACACCTTCGAAACGACAATTCAGAGCTCAATGAAACTTTGAGCAATGAAAAATAGGATTCAAGAGGTGCCAGATCTCAAGATGTACAAAACACAAGCACAAGATGCAGTAAAACCTAATTTTCACTTTCGCGTTTTCACCTTCTTTGGATTGTGAAATAGGGTCAGCCTAATGCATAAGGATTGAATGAATACAACAGATAGATCATCCTCCGGAACATGGCCCAATCTGCATCTGACTAAACCTCCCGAATAAATCTTGCCCAGCCTTGAGGCACAAGCGCTGAATGATACTTATTCACTGCCAAAAATATTCTTCTGCAATGAGAGGAAGAAAAAGGTTTAGTTGCTCACAAGTGTGGTTTTGGCTGTAAAAAGAAGGTAGTATTCCAAGCATTGAGGTCAGGAGGCTCGGTGTCGGGCTGAAACCAGGAGAAGCCGAGCATGGCCTTCTCGCCAAGATCGAGCGTGGCGAGGTAGCAGCCCGTCGAGAGCTTCAGTGAGTACGGCGAGTCCTGTCCACAACAGAGAAATTGTTGAAGCTTTCTACAAAATAACTGACATTGCTGCAGTTATATGAAATTCAAAATCCTTACACGTGAAATTAACTCTGGTACAGTAATGTACTACAATGAATCTCGTTTAATTAACGAGTTAATTTTGATTGAACGAAATGAATGTAGGGTTCAGCAACGAATTAAAAATGAATGACGATCTTTGAATGATTCCGACTTGAAGGGATGATATGCTGTTTCAAACCGTATAAATCAGCAAAGTAAAGCGGAGATGACGTTTTTTGGAAGGAACGTTACAATTTTTCATTGAGATTACTCATTACTTACTATGGTTACTACAACATTCATGTTCACGAATCTCGCGTTCATTGATTTCAAAAACAAAAAGTAAGAATGGAAATTTTAATAAGGTCTCCAGGCAGAAAAATAAGATATTCGGTCGTTATAGCACAATGGAAACTGTGCTGCTAGATTTTCGTCGTGATATTCACACATAGACATTTGAATGAGGTATTACTTCGCACGCCTAGAGGCCAGAGTAGATACCGAGTCACTGAGCCAGCGTTGGGGGCAGGAGCGTCGGCAAGACTTACAGCGCTGATGTAGCCGGCATTCGCGACAGGGTAGAGGTTGCTGAGTGTCTGCATGTTGATGGCCAGCGCCTCACAGCTCTCAGCATCAATGCTCTCTTGGTAGAGCTGCATGATCACCGAGCCTGGTGACAGTAAGGCATGCTTGAGCAGCCAAGGTTGTCATACTTCTACACATAGACGAGTGCACAACAGCCGTATGTTAGTGGGGAAATCTGCATTTGATACTTGCAAACTGGGATAGTGTAAATGTTTTTACTTATTTTACTCATTTAGAGAGCGAAACATATTTAACGAGGTCCGAAATATTTTACGGGTCCTTTAATTATAGAAACCAATTCTAGCATATAAATTTTAAAGCAAAACAAATAAAGTTTGAAAATATCTTTTTGAAAAATATGGAGGAACGCAAATAGCAGTTTAAAATAAACATGCAGATACAGGACGCAAATTATTGGCCTAACAAATAAAATACAAGCGTATTTAAGTGTAATATTTGCCAACCCGAGCAACCGCGACAGCAGTTAGCAGAAGTGCAGTTGAAGCTCATCTTTAGGAGGAATATTGCGGTGCTGGTGTCATAGTCGTGATCCAGCTTCATATACCTCACGCATTCCCGACAGATGGTGGATCTTTTGGCCCGACTCAACTTTTTTTGGGGTTTTGTCCAGATTGATGATCCATTATTATTTTGGCCGGAAAACAGCAACCAACTTTCAGGTTTTGCAGACTGAATCGGATTTTTTGAAATCAAATTTTCTTGCTGGAAATTTTTTGCGTAACCAGATTGACTTTCTATTAGCGAGGCTATCCGAGGGGGTCTCATTACCGAAGAACTGGAGCTCAGCATACCGAAAGGAGTGAGTTTCGACACTCGTGGTCTCTCAACAACGGGCGGCTCCCAAGGATCCGAAGTCGTCGAGGCATCGCTATCTCCGTCGGGCCAGAAGTGGAAGAATTCAACTTTTCTATCACGCAAGTAGCTAGATTGTCTAACGCTATCGTCCAAACGCGGAAGATCAATTTCTTCATCGCTCAATAACCGTACCTCCATCGCCTTCTGTTCTGCAACAGAAGGTAAGACAAATATTTCAATAGGTTTTGATCAACTCCTTCAATTTATTATAAACGGACGTGGAATGCTCAACTTTTTTTAGAATACAACAGAATTACGGAGATCATAGCAGCAGAAATAGAAGGTTGTCGGACGCACCTGCCGCTCAGGTTAGATATTTGCTGACCAAATATTAGTCATGTCCAGCCATGTTGAGTACCAACAACTTACAAAGATCAATGGCAAAAAGACCTAAAAGTTACTCAACAAAATGACAGAATGTTTTTTTACATCTATTTCTGCATAGAAAACACATAATAATGCGAACTCAAACACTCACGCCCAGCCAGAGACACGACATCGACGGATTGTCGCGCGAGTACTGCCTTCTGGTCCATTGTGCTGGTGACGCTAGCCGTGTACCGGCCCTCGCATACGGGAAAACCTTGAACTCTGATCACAGACTCAGGCCATCCCGGGGTGGGATTAAAAAGAACTCGCCAGCACATAGAACTGTTCTGTGTAGGGTTCTCGGAGCGCGGCGTCAACGAGATCCAGAGGACAAGAGCAGCGTTTGCTGTTGAATTACCGTATATGAGCATTGATGCAAGGAACATAAGTGGAATAAGCTAAACATTGATAAATAAATAAACATTGAAAAATACGGCACGATTATTTCGAGGATGGTCGAAAAACCATAGTTGGAGGAAATTTGTGCGTCAATCTTATTCAATAATTCAAGTTAATGGCCTAGAACCATCAAGACAAAGTAATTGCCAACCGTCTGCCTTCATGACACAGAAACTGGAATCAAAAATGAAACTACGCAAAACTACTTGTATTAATTAAAAATAAAACTCAAATTTAAATCACATTCTGCTTGTTGTTTTTCCTAGCATAATATTACTCTACATACAAAAATTTACTGTCTTAATATTGTAGGGACAACCAGAGGCCTTCAACTCGTATGGCTATGTTTTAACTAGTTAACTTACTATTCCAAACCGAATGGAGAGTCAGAGCGCCACTCTGCGTTTGTCCAACTGAGTGGTTGTTACTCAGATCAAGCTCAGCCGGCTGATGAGTAACACCAGATTTCTCATTGAGTGATTCCGGATCTGAAACCCCGACAAGACGCACAACATAAATACTAAGTAACGTCAACAAAGGTTACGAGATAACGTAAAATATCCTACTCGAAGACTAATTATGGTGGCTAAAATACGTAAAATTTATTTCCTGAGAGTAAGCAAAAAATTAGATAACTTTAATTCTTCCTTCTCCTTATGACTAATACTTTAAATTTAAGTCTAATAAAATGTTACGAAGAGGCTATTATTTCCAAATAAAATAACTATGACCAAATGAGGATGACGAATGATAGTGAAGTTCCTTTCGTTTCGTGGTAGTCTATTGTTTTTTTTTTCAGATATTTGAGTTTCTGAAAACATACATATAATTCTTATACAATATTGCAACTATAACATATTTCGATTGCAGATATCATAGTCGCAGATAACGTTGAAAATACGAGTACGGTATATTATGGATTAAAAAAAATTATTTTTGGTTATTTTCTCCGAATTTTAAATATGAAACTCGAAGCCTAACTTTTAAAATTAAAAAGAATTTGCACCACAGTATAAGACTAACTGTCAACTAAAACGGGTGATAGAGGTTGGGGACTTTCAGGAGATGTGAAGCTGAAGTGCAGCGACCGCAGCCATGTAGCGCTGGAGACTCGGGCATCGTCAAACTGTCGGCACTCTGGGAAAGATACTTTAATTTATATCATATCACTGCAACCCCAATAAAATGCATTCGTATCTGGGTTAATCATTTCGTATTTAGGCCCACATGATCATCAGTCTGATTGTTAAACAAAATTAGATCAGTACCGGTACTCACTGCAGTGAGTGACAGAGAGCGCATTTTCTCACGTCCGTTCGTCCGTCACGGACGGACGGACATGACGAGCACAATAGCGCCTTTTTTCCATAAATGAAAAAATGCGCTAAAAACAGCCTCTGAGTCAGACGTGATGGGTGAAATAGCCGGATCTCGACTGCTTTAAATATTTTATTATAAACTAGTAAGCCATTATTAATTCTGATCTCAAAGTAAACTTTGGGAATTCTGAGGGTCACTTAGGAGTTTTTGAATCGAAATCAGAACCAGGCCACGATGGCCTTACAGCATCAGAATGGCGATATGTCGTTCCTATCACTCTCAAGCAACTTACCAGGTAATAAACTTGGCCCAATGAATGAGTCATCTGTCATGCACACCTCTTTAAAATTTGCATAAATCAATAGGTACGGAATATTTTGTCCTTAAATATTTTACACACTCAAGCTTAAATAATATGCGTTTAAAATTTAATTTTTAAGCACAACACTTCTAAGGAATACAGTGTCTCCAATGTTACACATCTACAATGAAAACCGTAGATTAATAAGTGGTAAGCTCACCATTTGACGTCGTAACAGAGCATGCAGCGCCATGTAGTATCACTCCCATCTCGCTCTGAAACACATGAATAATATTACAAATTTATTAATAATTAAAATAGCTACCGAATATCATTTTTCATTACTTAGTACTCTTCAACTCTAGCGTTGAAGAGTAGCAGAAATGAAACAAATAAGGAGCAGATGTTCTGACATTTTCTGTTCACCGAGATGCTTGGATGCGTCACCAAAACAGGAGCGACTACAGGAATAAAAATGTTTGGGATGGTGCACAGGGTTTAATTTGTCTAAATTATAATTAAGAATATCAGATTGTTTTTCGAGTTTTTGTTTGAAATCCCTTAAGTATTATGTTTATCATCGTCGTACTCCATCTGCAACTTTTAAGAGCTTAAATTTATACGGAACTAAGCGATATAAGAAATATTAACATTTTCAATTATTTTGCAATACCGTTCTAATAAACTTTCACTCATTCCTTGAAGATCTTTTACGCGATTGTAGTCAATTTTTCAATACATTCTAATTCGATATTCGAAGGATATGCGACCGATCTGATTAACTTTCTTGCATTTTTTTTTTGTAAATGGGGGCTCAGGTCTGTGGCGGCGCAGACGAGTTGCGTCTCTCCCAAATTAGCCCTCAAGCAGCTATGAGGGGTTGCGTGAAAAAAAGAAATTCGTGCGAGTGAAAGTGACGGAGTCAACAACATTAATGAGCGTATTGAAGAAATAGCTCAGTATGGTCACGCAACGCGTCGCAAGTTCATTGACTGAGTTATGAACTCCCATTAAGGATTAGCTTTTAAACAATAACTTCGGGAATTAAGTTTCTTAAACGGTCACTCATTGTTGTTGAAGGTTATAGCTTGACCGTCATGATATTAAATATCAACAATGCACAGAGCTATTATGACAAGTCTTCGTTGAGAAGTTAATGATCATGTCGTAGAATCTTTCATACAAATAGGAATGGCGGAGCATGAATAATTTGAAGATGTTTTAGGGCTTCGCATCACCAAGCTCGCAGTAATTTTTTAATTTTTAGCTCAAGCAAAAATAGTTCGACAGCGAGTTCTTTAAAGCAGACTGCATGTGCGCTTAGCCAACGCAATGACAATTAACACGGCTCAAGGTAGCAGGAATACACCTTGAAAGTCCCTCTTTTTCTCATTGATAACAAATAGACGTTTTTCTCATTGTCAACAACAGAGTCGTTGGCACTGGAATTATCTTTAATAATGGTACCAATAGGGACAACAAAAAAGTGTGCATGCATACAAATAATACGAATCGAATTTCTTAGGAATCAACAATATAAATATGCCAGTTTATTAAAAACCCTTTTAACTTCATTTTAAAGTGAATAGAAATACTGAACACCTTTTGGCGGTATAACTGACAATGCTATCAGTGAGATGCATGCAAGATGTAGGACCGTGAGACTAGAGGGTTCCTAGCATTAGTGTGTTTGCTTCTTAGGTAAAGTTTGTTTCTGCGGTGCATTAATCTCCTCAAGCATTTACCGTTCTTCGTAAAGATTTCATCTCTACGCAAAGTTGTGCTATAACTGAGGTGTAAGATTTCATTAAGTTCAGCATGAAACGTGCGTGAGTGGTAGATGATGAAGAGCAAAAGTAGGTGCAATCCAACGAGACCAATGAGAGAGTGAGGGAGTGAGATCAGATCATTGCAACTCATCTGATCAGGTTTGAGAATAAAGTTATTTTGCATAAGGTCATTACGTTACATCTGCGGCATGACACGCTTTTTGCGATCTGAGTACTTTTAATTGAAATTTATATTTTATCGGGTGTTGAGATTTTGGTACAATGATGCGCTTCCATTCAAAATTTATCCCGCTCTAGTGCTTTAAGTTATCGATGGGTCATCTAACTTTTAGAAAGCATACGGCAACGCCCGGTAACCATTCTCAACTGCCTCTCTCTTTCAACTACGCACATATAAGATGCTGATTGCTATGGTAACTGACAATTAACTCATGATCACCTAGCCCAAGCGACGCTTCTTCTTTACTTGATTTACACTTACTCTGCTCTTTAATAAAGCTCAAGGCCACGTATATCGCACGACGCCTTGTTACTCTGCTAGGTCTTACAGATTTTTTAGAACATCTCAATCAATGGGACGAAACCTGGCATACAGATAGTCAAGATACAGAATTCATTAATTTACTCGCATTTCAAATTTGGTCGACGTCAATATTTTCGAGTGGAACGATTCGCTCAAAAACATGCAAAAAAAACTTTGCGGTATTATACAGCTCCAGGAATAAATTTCTTCAGCATGCTTTTAAACTGACATTTTAGTCTTCAATAATTCTCAATCGTTTTCACAGGACAACGCAAAGAAATTTTATTTATCGAATGAATTCAGCAAGACATTTTAATGTGACATATAAATTACGGATTCGCGTTTTAACAAGAAAGTAGTAGATGCAAAGCAATACAGATATTGAACTTAAGACTGACAATGATACATCACAAATTTAATGCCAGATAAATATATGTGTGCGAAAATAAACATTTCAACGGAGGATGCGATACAATATTGCGGGGTAAAAATTATACGTGCATTCAAACATTAAAATAGAAGATAAAAATGAGGAATAAATATCATAGTTCTCGAAAGTACGAACAACATAAATTACGTCCTGCACAAGATTACGCAATATTTCATGCATCCAAACTAACGACAAGAAACAGGGGTCAGGAAGAAAATACCATGAAAATTTTTAAATAAGATTAAGCCGTTTTTCATTTATATTTCCAGGTGTGAAATAGCATCAAAGAACGCAGATTTTGAATAAATAGGCCGGAGAGCATGAGTTCCTGATTTCAATTATATATTCATAAGGTAAATTAATATCTAATTACACAATGAATAATTGGAAAGGTAATGAAATGAAATTAACACTGTCATTAAAAACATTAGTCACAGAGCTATGAGATTGATATTAATTAAATGGTCAAACATTACGTGAATAACAGGCTAATGTAGCAGCACGACAATACAGCTCTAGCTCTGCTGGAGTGCAGAGAAGCTATATCTTTGGAACACATAACAGGTGTGCGATTGATAGCTTTGAACATCACTCAACGCGATTATTCAACAAATTTTGTGGATCCGGCCAGACTTTGTACTCTTTTTGATTGTCTACTGAAGAAATAATAACGAGTGCAGGAAATATTCGACCAAGGAGTTTTAGAGGAATGATTCATTCAAATATGAAAATGACCATTCAAATAAAAATTAAAAATGTAAAAAACAACGTAACTATTCGTTCAAAATAAAAATAAGGCGTAATTCAACAACCCCTATGATGAAAACAACACCTCACTGTTGCTGAATTGCTAATGTCTCCTTGTCTGCACTTCTAATAAATTTTGTATGGAAAAGCCCAAAATTGCAGATGTGTTGCAGAAATATGTTTTTTATATCCACTGTTCAATACTTGAACCAAATTTCTATTGTAAGGATTATTCGGAAACCACAATTAAGAATCCATTCGCACGTCGCCGACGATAATCTTGCCAGACTTGGCAAGAAAATGATCTTAAATAAAAAGAAGACTGCACCATTACCGACTGGAGCGCTGACTTCTTCATGAGACACGAAGCGCAGTCAAGGACGGTGTTTTTTTTTTATGATTGCAAGTCGCATTACAGCCTTAAAAAGACCTCATTATTTGAAACCTAGGGTCTCTATAGTGATCTAAAAAATTAAATAAATTTATAATGGACAAAATGATTTGGAATCTAATTTAATCGGTAATTTCGAATCTAATTCGAGCACTTATAAGGTGACGCACATGCAGACAAAGTGGTTGTCATTCAACGAAGATGGCGGAAATTTGCACCACCTACAAATTACTCTTTCTGAAAGACACATTACAATTTATCAAAAAAGTACCAAAGATATACATGGCAAAACAAAAATGTACCTATTCTACTTAATTAGTTTGTCCCGTTTGTCCCGTCTTAACACGTATTTTGTTACCGGTTCCCACTCACGAGTCACGGCTGCAGAAAAATCAATGTAGAACATAATATTGCTTCGTAAAAATTTTGAAATAATTTTTTAAACGCCAAAAAAGAAGTACTGAATTTTTAAACCCCAAGAAAGAGAAGTACCTTGAAAAGAGACATCGAACTTATTGAGGCATGATTATATAAATAAAGAAATTTATAAAATACATTAAACGGATGTGTACAAAAAATTGGTATATGAACAGGCTCACCTCGATGGAACATTGCAGTTCAGTTGTTGCACCAGAGGCATCGTCCACCGCAGGCGCCGCTCGCAAGTCATCGACTTGCACGTGTCTTGCCGGCATGGTAATATGCGTTTCCTGTCGCGAAGATTCTTCCAACAATTTCTGTTTCTGACCAACATGCGATACGCTGTTCACGCTGCGGACTGGTTTTGGAGAAACGTGATCCCGAGGTCTTGTTTTTGATCTCGTCTCTTTTATGCTATTTTTGGGAGCTGACTCGTAAAAAATATCTCCTTTCTTCCCTTCAAGGTCCACAAACGTGCTATTTCCATCATCAGAACCAGAAAATGAGTTGCCACGCAATCGCACACCAGGGCCAGCATTAGCTTTATAATTGCTTCTTGATATCAAACTCATCTTTAATAAATGGGCATCTGTCTGTCGGCCGCCGCTAAAATTCCTGTGTTCTAATGCACGCAAGTTCGATTGAAGGTTGACGATGCGGATAGTGTTTTTTAGAGGACCAGCTGAAGCTTGGATACGGCAAATCGTTAGAAAAACAAGCAATGCTAGTATGTACTGTGCCATTGCGTGAATATTCAAACGTCATCTTCTAAGGCAGGCAATACCCTTGCTTATGGTCATTACTGAAGCAATGCGAATGTCATTTACTGCATGAACAATGATTCAAGAACGAAGAAAAAATTTAAATTGTAAGGAATAAAAATGTAATTACATTAAAAAATATATAAATATGTAGTATATTATTGGTCAATCCTAGTGAACACACACTAACAAAAAATTAATTTATGATCGACGAGGATACACGCATTAACTCGTGGAAATAGGAAGCTAACCAGTGTACCTATCAGTAATATTGGTAGGTGAGCAGCACTTCGTTTATAAACCGGATTTCTCCCATACTCCTATATTTGTGAAAAGGGAGCGGCGCGAGTCACAGCTCAAGTTCCAACCAAAAACACGAGGTCGGTTTTTGCGAGGGCTCGCCTTTGCCGAGCCATAGGCTGGTCTTCAATCCGCCCTCATTGGAGAACATAGAAAACTTAACTGCTTATATTTTTTAATGAATACTCAATGGACACAAATATCAAATCTTGGTTAGTCTGTGAGCATAGAATAAAACACCTAGCATTGGCTCGAGTCATCGATCACGTGCACGGTGGAGGGTTTATAAGGCATCGCCCCTAAAGTTAACATTAGAAAAATATAACTCAGTACTCACTGCAGTGAGTGACAGAGAGCGCATTTTCTCGTCGACGAAAACTTGAGGTCACGGACGGACGGACGGACGAACGGACGGACAGACAGACAGACCGACGGACATGGCGAGCACAATAGTGCATTTTTTCCATAAATGAGAAAATGCACTAAAAAAGGACATAACGATTCAGAAATATTTCGTGGAGTTAATAAGTTTGATGTTAGCTCAGTCCAAAATACCGGTGTGTAAACTAAAACGTAAAGTAGCGAGTATATGCAGCTGTGCCAGGCAAGAGTGACGACACTTGCGTTTCCCCGGCGCAACGATGCTCGAGAAAATATTCAATTAACTGTCGATATACTTCACTACTTCGGGGATCATCACATTAAAAACTGGAAGATCGAAATTTGGCTAACTCGCATCTAGATATGTATATGCCGTGCCGAAATAGCGGAATTAAATAAAATGGACAGCCAGTTTGCCGAATTTGTAGAATCAGAATTTCATTGCCGATTAAAAAATCGGACGTTAGAGTTAGAACGTAAATCGACAGTTAGAGTTAAAAAAGGTTAGTTCCGAAATTTATCCTATAAAATCGATCAAGTATATAAAACTTGTGTACTCAATTTCAAAACATTTATATTTTATAGGTACGGTACTACAGAAATCAAGCATATAAATGTTTCCGAATTATATTCAAGTCCTGGGGAGGAAACCATACATACTATATAAATACCATCGTTGTTGACGTTCCCTGACAAAGAAAACTTCAATTTTTTGGCAGCTGAATAAAATATGAAGTGGCGTAACAACTTGAAAACGATATTTGTACAGATGAATAACACAGCTGACGATTCACAGGTATCTAGAAATGTATTGATTTATTTCTAGGTGGAAGTTGGTAGTACTTGGAACAAAACTCATTCCATTTGCAGTTAGGTTCATTATGCATAAGTCATTTTCACTCAACATCTTCAAAAACCATAGGAGGCACAGGACTTACCAAGGCACAGGACTTACCAAGGCACAGGACTTACCAAGGCACAGGACAAGCGGTAGCGCTGTAGCGGCAAAACCTCGTATCGCTACTTAAATATGTAGCGGGCGCTACCGCTACAATTGCTTAAATGTAGCGCCGCTACCGCTACTGAAAATGTAGCGGCCGCTAGTAGAGCGCTACTGCCCACCTCTGCCAACAAAGTAACAAATCATTCTCGCACTCTTAATTATTACGGGAACGAAATTATACAGCTGATAAACGAACAAATCGATTGGCAATTTTGGAACACTTGCCAGCGATTCAGAAGGCTGACAAGACGCATAATTGAGAGGGAGCTGAGGGAGTGGGAGAATTGACCATCAAACGTCAAAATTATTTACTTTACTCGCTTGACTTTACTTGACTCCGCGAATATGATTTCAAATCATATTCGTATTATGGCTTTACGCGAATAAACGTTCCGAAACCTTGCAACATTCAGTATGAAGCACAGAAGTAGCACAACTAGCTATTGAAAGCGTACTAAATGAAGTTGTATACTTACAACACGCCACACAGGCAAAAAAGTGGCAGGCGAGATTATTCACCTTGAAGCTTCCAAGGCTCATCCTGTTCTATAAATACACTCGCAAACCAGATGTTGCATCATAGGAAAATTGGTGTAATTCGACACGAGCCTTCCTTTTATGCAAGTTTTATTGGAGACAAGAGCATGTTTTTATTAACAATTTTCTTATATGTTTTTTCAATGTGTCGAACAAAATATCTTGCTGGCGCCGGGAGATCAAAAAGTAGGTAACTAAGTGACATCTTAATGGAATGCGACGTTTCGAATATACAATTTTCATTATCAAGCAGTGAAGGGGTTTGCAACATCTGAGATTAAATAAACTTTGGAAATGACAGTACCTAGTACAAATCAAGGGAAGTGTGGATACATTTTGAAATCGAAGCTTGAAATTACTGCGAAAATAACAAATAAGATTGTTAATAAGTATCATGCTCTGGTGTTCAGTCAAACTTTCACAGGAAAATGTGCAATTCTACAGTTTAGCATGTACCGAAAAAAATGTTGGCTGACAGTCTCTTGACGCGAAAGACCCCGAAAACCAGCTTATGGAGAATCTTTGGCTACTTCAAGATGACCAAGTTCCTTTTTTTACAGAAAAAATAATGTCACAAATAATAATAGTTAATTTTTAGCGAATTTTCCCATTTATGGAAATAATATGCGTTTAAAAATTACTTTTTAAAGACAACAATTCTAAAGAATATATATACAGTGTCTCCGATGTTACACATCTACAATGAATTTCTAATTTTATTTCCATATATTAATAAAAACTAATTTTTACATTTTTTAATATAAATATATGAAATTTTTTTAAATTTTCAAAATTATTTATTCTGTCAATTGATTCATGCATTGTCTTCGAATTTGCGCAAGTGTGCAAAATTTCAGATTCATTGGACAGGTAGAAGTGTATTAAATATCAATAATAAGATATGTAGAAGAAAAATTATTCTTTAATTAAAATTTTTTCTATTTTAAAATTATATATTCTGTTAATTGATTCATGCATTGTCTCCAGCTTTGCGCAAGTATGCAAAATTTTAGATCAACTAAACTGGTAGAAGTGTGTTAAATATTGATTATAAGATTTGTAGCAGACAGACAAACAAACAAACAAACAAACAAACAAACAAGAAGTGACGTTAAAGAGAAGTGTTGTAATAATAATAATAATAATAATAATAATAACAATAGAAAGGCGCTATTGTGCTCGTCATGTCCATCCGTCCGTCTGTTTGTCCGTCCGTGACTTCACGTTTTCGTCGAGGAGAAATTCCGCAGTCACTCACTGCAGTGAGTGTACTGAGTTACATTTTTTTAGAATTTTTTCTTCTACCATATTTCACACTTCGACGTTATTTTCGAAAAAAAACAGACCCACATTGACGTAACCCCAGATTCATGAATAGCTGATTTGTTTGGTATTTTTCACGCCAAAAAACAGGAAGCCGAGTTTTTTAGGTGACTGCCAAACTGCAGAAGTATACCGGAAATGTTTCATTGCAATCGATGTCAACATGGATCGTAATTACAGCTAGGAATTTAAATGAGTTATCTACATCAGTTATCAAAAGGACATTTAGGTTATATTTTCGTGTTTCATAATTACTCTCTTTTAACAAGGGTCATAAGTTGTTATCATTATACGTACTACAGTGGCATCGGCATGAAATAGATCACTGCTTGCCCGTTGCGTTTAAATCTTATTCATATTATAATAAGCCTTAAAATATGCTAAGTGTTCAGGTGGAGTGTGCAGAGACCATTGTATTTCATTTGAAATGAAAAAATAGGTTATATTAGGTCCTATCACCTGGCGTGCATGGCACAGGCGCTCACGCCAGGTGTCCCCAAGACTCCTCATGCTCTTACCTGCATCTAAAGCAGGGGTCTCTAAACTTTTTTCTCACCAAGGGCCAAGAGCAAGCTTTCTCAAACCTTCGCGGGCCGGAGAAGTTCGTGGGCGGAGGGGGAAAGGGGAGTTGCACAAATTACGAAGCAAATGCGAGAGTCAAAATCAGCGCACGAATAACTATTTCATTCTGCACTTACGTCTTTTAGATCAGGGGTCTCCAAACTACGGCCCGCGGCTAGGTTCCATCCGGCCCGCCGAGGATATCTCGTAGTTCAACATAATGTGTACAAAAATCGAGCGTGGCATTTATTTCTGGTTACGCATGAACTAAAAACAGTGAATGGGCGTGACTGGTGTCTGTTGCACGGTGTTGTCACGATTCTTTGAACTCCGAGCAGATATTGAAGTTTTCCTGAATGAAAAGAATTGACCCCAGCCGCTACTCACACACGACGAATGGCTTTGAAAATTATATTTTCCTGTGGATCTGACCACAAAATGAGTTTAATATTTGATTGCAAGGCAAAACATCGCCCCTTTAGGCAAAACATCGCCCCTTTGCGACATGTATACCCAAGTGAATGCGTTTCGACACAAGCTATTTTTGTTTGAAACCCTGTTGATGAGAAACTGTTTCACGCACTTTCCATATTGTGAAAAGTTAGAGCGAGAAACTCAAGCTTCATTCCCAAGAAGATTTGCACAAGGCTGAATGCACAATTTGCATAATTATAGGCATAATTATTACGTCCCCTCTTTATATAAGAGCCACAATAAATGTTTAAGCTTTAAGATTAAGCAAAGACTAAGCGACGAAAGATGGTGTACAGTTGCTCTGTAAAATGAGCTATGCGATGCGAGCTAGGCTAAGTTTCGATTTTTGAAAATATTTAGTTGTTTAGTATGAATTCACGTTGCAAGTCCTTTTCGAGTAGCTTGTTCAACTAACTCTAGGTCTACGTATGCATTCACCGTCATTGTAATTCCTATATAAGGCCAGGTAAAAATAGGTATCGACGGTATCATAGATAAACAAAGAGTTGAACAGTGATGAACACATACCCTACATCCCCTCGCAATCGTCTTCAGGGCTGAAGTGCAACCTATTTTTTTTGGGAACTACAAACAATACAACTAAATCCGGCGATCCCTACCTTCCTAATAGTTTGATCTTTCTGTGACCGTATAAATATAGTAAAACTTGACATTCTTTCAGTTTTGTGCAGTTCATATCCTGCTAATAGATTAAATGTAAAATTTAAAAATGTAAATGATTAAATGTAAATGAGTGCCTTATTGTCATTTGTAAATACATGTAAATGAATATTTCGTCGCGGTAAAGATTCTATTCATTTACTGTCACCGTAATCTTTTGAACGTAACAAAACATGTCAATCAATAATGACAAAAAAATAAGTTGAAGGCTTTAATGATAAAAAGAAACATTTATTTTAATCCGAAAATTTGCACCCGCACGGGTCGCGCTCAAAGCATTCGAGAGTGGAAGCCAGTAGTTTAAACGCAGAAATACCATAAACATATAAATAAATCGTGCAAATAAATAAATAAAGCTGGAATTCTAAGCAGAAGGAGGCTCCTTTATTAGTTTAGTCGGAAGGCTATAGTTCCGCCGCTGCCAGAGGCACTACGTACTCTAAACTGTCTGTGACACAGTGACACCTGTGGCAATGCACGAGGAGAGGGTTGATTTTGGGGTTTTCAACATGCTAAATGACACATTTTCAATTAATTAATACTGATAATGCTACGCAAATAAACTTTATGATTCAAGCTTTCGAGTTTTTCATTCTTTTAAAAATCCTTCTCAAAAAGATGTACATTCTACAATTAACATGTTTGGATAAATTCTTTTGAAAATTAGATAAGAGGATAATTCTTGTACGTACGGTAGTCAGTATCTCCAGCTTCGTAAATGGCAGAAAAGCTCTCTGCTGACTGCTCTGGCATTGTCTCAAAATGTAGGTAGCCTAGATAGTTTACAGAAATGGTTGGGCGGCCGGGTAATTAAAAATTACAATCCTCTAAACCCAGCTTTTTAAATTTATTGCAGAATGTCACCATTGTCACAATAAAAAGATATATTTTCAAAGAATAGATGGTAATTTGACGCGTCAAAAAAGATTTGTAACTGTTGCAATTCAACTAAAAGCATTACGTACGCGTTTACGGTAACAATAGAATCTTTGCATTTGGGCTTCGTTATCTTGCCAGTTTTGATCTTAAACAAACCACAACTTAGCCGATAGCGCGCCATTCCCAAGGTTTGCTAGCAACTACGTATAGAGTTCAGTATGGAAACAGGTTGATGTTCGGCCACACTATTATTACATGGTAACAGTCACAGAAACGCGTATTCAAGAATCCAGCAATGCTGCGTGCAACATCACATGCGAACACCACTTGCACACTAGCAACAATATCCAAGTGAAGTCGGTACACACACAGTCTCACAGACAGATTTCTTTAACTGCCAACTAACGCCAGAACTAAACTTAACTCACGACCATATTATATTGAATTTATTCTGTTTTACCTGTATTTCACTATGCGAAACTGATTTTTTTATGAGTTATTATGACCAAAAAAAATTTTTTATCATTTTAATCATTCATCATTTTGAACAAGAGCCTTCATGACGCTAAGGTTCACGTTAACATTCACTTGGGAAATTCCTAAATTACATCAACTTATAGATATGAGAATAGGTAATTATATGACTACAGCCTAAACCGTATTTATAAAATATAAATGTATATGAAAATTAAACTATCATTGGTTATATTTGAAATTTCTTACGCGAGTTTCTCAAGTCTTTTGTCTACTACATTTGGGAAAAGAGAGAAATTTCAAGGTGAGGATCTCCACTCGTGTGTTTTTCGACTCGTATAAGTTAATTAATACGACATAATCGCCGGGATAAAAAGTGAAAAACAACTAATTATTGAATACAGATTTAACAATTCTACTGTTCATCGGCACGAAAAGAAGTGGGGAACATTTTGAGAGATTAGTACCTAACAGTGTCCATTGTCTTAAAATGTTGGAATCCTGCTAATTCGCAAGTTAGTCCAAAAAAGAATATATGAGAAAACGATTGTTGTTTATAGGGTATACTGCAATTCAATTTCCTAATTTTATCTTTACAACGGTAATTCCTTAAAATAAATCTTAAATTTAGAATATGGACCAATCAGTGTCGTTTATGTAACTGAAGACTAGAAATTGAAGTAAATTTTGGTAGTATTTTACCATACCAGTTCTATTTTTCAAAATTTACTTATATATATATACCTATCATCTCTGTCACTTTTTTTCTGCACTTCGAATTTATTAAGCATTACCCAGGAAGACATAGGTTTCAAAATAATTACTTGACTTACTCGCACGCTCAGTTTTTTCTTACAGTAGGTTTCAAAAATTTAAGCAATATTCAATACGAATATGTAGCCTGATATATGGATATTATTCTGTTCTTCACGACATCACGTATATATTTGACTTCCACCTTACGCCTGTGCTATATTGGGAAAATCTGTGTAATATTTTCTAGGGGTGAAAATGATTCAATTGTACTTGAGAAAAATTGTAACTGATTATTTAATTACCACAGGATAGTTATCGATCAAGAGCATAGACGGCGATTATAAAAAGCGTATCACTCATCACTAGCAGGCCAACCCCAAAATTACATCATAAAGAATTTAAGTGAATATTCCAGACTTTGGCCGGGTACGACATTTATTTATCACGAAACGTGCATATGAGTCTGATTCGGTCTACGATGATTGGTTGGCGGTGGTGTTTGCATCGTAGCCTTAGTAATTAGTAATGTGATAAGTTGATAACAATGCTGGTAATGTTGGAGGTTGAGGATCGACGGCGATGACATGTCTCGGCAGCTGATGTGCATCTTTTTCCTCCTCAGGCACACAACAATTTTCCAAATATCATATTCGTGGAATGTTTATTTATTTATTTCGAAGATTTCATGTCTCTTGCGATTATAAATAATTCGGTTTTAAATTCATGCAGATTTTAGCTTCTTTTGAAACGGGAACGAATAACAAAAAGACAACTCTGTATGGACCTGACTGGTTGACCAGACAATTTGGGATGCGGTATGTCAAGCACGTTTACGTTTTTTAATTCTCTTTATAACACGCAATGCCTCCAACTGCCCAGAGTCGTTCAGGAAACGATATAAATGAGACCAAAGATATCCCCAACAGAGGCAGACAACGCACATCAGTTTATGGGGAAAACATTGACGCCGTTCGTGATTTCATTGAAAAAGATAAGCGTATAACCACCAAATCAGTATAAGATACCCTCGATATCTCCGTGGGTTCCGCACACACAGTTCTGGTGGTCAGTTTGGTACTGAGCACGCTCTCCGCTCGATGGGTTCCAAGTCGTTGCTCCCAGATAAGCAGGAATCAAAGGCAGAGGCGATGTTCAAGTGAATTAAAAAAAATCCTATGGAAATTCTGAACAAGTGGGTTGAGAACCCTGAAATTTTCTTACGTGGAGTGTGACCGGGACTAAAACATAGCTCTATCAGTACAATTGCGAAGACAAAACCCAATCGAAGCAGGATTTGTTCTGGGGTGAAAGGTGGCCCGTCAACGAAAAAGCTGAGCGTTTAAGAGGGCAGGTTTACTGGGATGCAGAGGGGTTCTTGTTATTTGATTTGTTCGAAAACAAGAAAAATATCACAGCTGTTTATTATAAAGAGATTTAATAAAAAATTTCAATTTAATTGCTGAGAAACCCCTCGGGAAGCAGCATATGGGCACGCAGTCTTTCACAGCGACAATGCACTCGCGCATGGCACTCAGCAGGCAGGAGCTTGCTTCGCGAATTTCCATAGGAAATCATTGGGCATCTACCTCGTGGGACCGACTTAGCCTCCTCCGACTTTTTTATTAAAAAAACTTAAAAATAATTGAGAAGTGCCCACTACCCAGTTTCCATCAATCGTAGCAGCGTAAAGAGCTGTCAAAACCTAGTTCAAATTTTCAAATGGCATGACTCTCAATTTTACGCAAATGTACTTGATGGTTGGTTTCACCGTTCACGGAAGTGTAGCGACTTAGATAAAGCACATTTTTGAAAGTAAACCTTATGACTCTGATCGTTTTTAAAAACTGTTGTTTTACGACGAACTTCTTGAAGCCCCTCGTAAAATAGTTTCAACATAGACGCGCCGAATTCAGTGCAGTGACCACTCAGGTGTCAAGTCTGAAAAATTATTGTTTTTGAAAATAAAACGTTACCGATTCAAACTCTTTTTATTCTCTGTTGTTAATCTATGAATTCCAAATACAATAGCAAAAAAGGACTGAGTGAAAGACTGTGTGTGCATGTTGAACCAACTGTTGACCAAGACAAAAGAAGTATTTAGTATCATATTAATTCAAGTGCGCGTTTTATACAGAAAGTATGAAGAATAAATTGCAACATTGAAGCGTACGGATGAACGAACTATCAACTGTAATATTATTCGCATCAATGAGATTAGATTTCGATGTCACTAGAAATGCTTCATTCACGTTCCCCGACCATGAATAAGGGTTACAATGTTTGAGTTATTCAATAAACTTTCATCCATAACAAATGGTGAGGTCGCCAGGTAGCCCGTCCACGTCACACATGACAGTGCTGCCCGGCAAGTCGAAGTTGACTCGCCACGGCTTAGCGATGAAGGCATCTCGCTCTGTGACGTTGTGCGCCCAGAACATGAGTTGCGGCTACGGAGGAAAAAATTTTAGTTAATTGAAATGGAGATAACTGAGTTAAAAAAATATATGCAACTTTGAGTTGAAACAGAATGCCCTGAAATCGCACCCTATTGAAATTAATTAACGAATATATAAGAATTTTTAGTGTTGTATAATTTGTTTAGCAGTGAACATTCATATGTTAACAATCTTTTTACTTACATCAAATTGTAGGTCGTGATGCAAGCATTAAAGCGTGTGATGGATTGTTAGAAATAATATGAACTCATGAAAAATAATTTCAGTTCATCAATAATTTTAAATATTTTCGAATATTTTCCAATTATAATACTTATGCACAAATTTGACCAGTTTTGTTTGCAAATATCTAACATTTTAGAATCAACCGTAAATAGATTTTTCTCAAATCCGCATTCATCGTGAAAATTCAATTACGTTTTAAAATTTATTAACTAAAAAATTCAATTACGTTTTACTTTATTAGTAAAATTAACAATGTTGTCTAAAATAAATAGATCATAGAACCTGTTGAAATATCAGAAATGAGAATTTTGTTTCTTTAGCACAAAGACAGCTAATAAAACTTTAAAATTCAAAGCGAAATGTTTTTGGAATTTTTGTAAAACCTTAATCCGTCTCGAGCTCTGATCTTTTCTTAACTTCATACATGATTTCAAAGGCTTTGACAAAACTGGCGGCTGCTGAATAATTTTTCGTTCCTTTGGCCTACGGATTTTAATTTAAGGAACTTTCCGGTGTGTTTGTGACTAATTATTTATTTATTTTAGTTCAGAAACGAAATGTCAAGCGGCGCCCAAAGCTTTTGCTTAATCGAACAGTCACTATTTATTATTTGAACTTTTCACTACAGCGCGCGCTTGTAAGATTCAAAGCGACATGCATTCTGGATGAGCAATCGACGGCCCTTGAGTGGCAGTGTTAGAGTTAAGAATGTCGCCGTTGTTCAGCGCTTGAAAGAGTCTTGGGCTCATCTAATTTACCCTGAGATAAAAGTGAAGCTTTTGTGACACGTGCGAGACAACAATATTCTGACACGTGCACCATCAAGAATATTTTGATTTTCAGTTTCCAGCTTCACAAATTTAATTTTATGATGCGTTACGGTGGGGCGGTGCCATTTTCATTTGATTTTTGTTCAAGGAGTGTAGACATAAATTCCATCAAATTTTCAGTGTATTTTACTGCTTTTATCTTACCTTCATTTCTTTGTCGTTATTTTAGGCTGGCTAGAATATTCTTTCTGCAACGTAGTAAAGATTTTCAACTGGTGGTAACATTAATTTTTTTTCGTACCCGTTAGCTCGTTATATGAATGGTACCTCGAAGTAATGACGGCAAATATTTTTAAATTTTATGCAACGAGATTTGTCTTTTTTCTCAAAAAATACTGTCAATTATTTAACTACTAATCATTTGAAAAAAGGTACCTGATAAAATGGATTTTTTTTTTACTTTCGGTCTCGATTTCAACATTGATTGACGCAGTTAATGAGTCGCAGGTCTTTGTATCGAGCTTGGTCGGACGGCGCGAGATCATTTGCGCAAGTTAATAATCCTTATAACTAACGTCAAACATAAATGACAGACCGTATATTCGGGTGTATATGAGTTCGATCGCAATTTGACTGATTAAAGTTGGAATTTTTCACAGGATGACAGTGGTTCTTATTTCTTACGTGGTCCCACATGAAAGTATAGTCCAATAAATTGGGGAACTGGGAACTATGTAAAATTCCAGGCACTACGCTGTCAATTTTTGCAAAATATTGTGGCAAGTAAGATGCCGATGCAATGTTCATCTAACGATATTAAATTAATAAATTTTCCGATTGAATATGAACTTCCTTAAACTTTTAGGTAACATTGAAATTTGATGTAGACAAATTGAACATATGAACTCCTATTTGACAACTGAATTGTCATTATCTACTACTCTAGCTCGGAGAAAAAGAACATTGATACAGAAAAAAACGTAATGTTGAATTGACTAACCCGGAGCCCCCGTGTCCGAATGTTTGTTTTTATTTCCAAACTTGTCTCGGACTGACTTGACCTCATGCGATCGACGGCTGGAATTATAATAACAAATGTGCTCTGATGCGGGCAGACCTCACCTCAGTGTCAACGTAGAAGATTGTGTCGTCGGGCAAGCCGAGGAAGGAGTTTACCGCGGCATCAGGAATTTTGTTTCCTTGAATACTGACGTACATACTGGGGGCCGCTAGCTGCAAGGAAATATTTGATTATTATTCGAAATGTGGAAAATATTTGATTATTACGAACAATTATGTTACACAGGAAAAATTCGCGGTAGGAGCTTGCATTTCATTAAACCTCTGATCTTATATTCATATCAATGAGTAAAAATCACGAAGTAGTTTCTTTATTTTAACTGATTTATATATCTTCATGCTTTACATGAACATTAGGCTGCGTTCAGGGTAGATTTCCCTTGTTCAGTAACAGGGATGGAATTTTTCGTTTGAATGCATCGTTTTATGCATTCATTTTACATTCAAAGAAATATTGATCAATTAAAGACATCGGCATAGCGTTGGATTAACTGAATTTGACATCACGCAGCTGCTGTTCTATTAATCACGCAGCTGTTATTCTGTTTCCGTCTTTGCGCGATTGAAACATTAAAATTCTACGCGAAATTTGGGAAGAAATTGATATATTTGTGGAAGTGACTGCAAACAGCTAGTGACAGTGAACCATGGACAGTGGAACCATATACGCATAACTTTATTGAATACAATGTAAGTTCGCCTGTAAAATTTCGGTACACAAGTTGTTAATTTAGTACAAGACAATTCGGGAGAAATTTTGTTGTTCAAAGAGACATGCTTGTAAAAGTTCATTTTGCAGCTTTCAGTAATCTGAGTAAATTCAAGAATATTTGCATCAGTCATGATTCTGGAATCTCCCCCCCCCCAAAAAAAAAAGAGTCTGAAAGTAGTCAATCATTCTCGTTAAGTACAATTGTAATCATATAGGCAATAATAAATTGATTATAAATTGAGACCCATTAAAAATCAATCATCAATCAATCAATGCTAGTAGTCCATTAATCGTTTATCAGAGGCCAACACAAGTTACGAAGCAAACGCGCACAAGACAGACCTTAGCGATTCGTGAATACCAAATCCAAACAGTGTTCTTCACATACGATTTGACATTCAACCCCAAGCAATATCCCTTACATGCCATTTGATATTCAATTTCAAGCTACCTATGTCTCTTACACGATTTTCTTTAATCAATTTCAAGCTTCGTCTGGCACACGATATTTATTGTTTAAATCAAATCCAAGTCGCTAACACGATGTTAATTCTTCAATTGAAAGCTGTATTCGTAAGACGATATTCGTCATTCAATTTAAAGTTCGAGCCCTCAAAAGCAATGCGTTATTTAATCGTACATGGTTTCGCGAAGAATTAAAAAAGTTCTATATGATGTAATATAAGTATATTTTCAGACTGAATGAATGAGATTCAAGTTTGTTTATGTGTTTAGAACGCCATGAAAAAAAGCCTGTTGCTTCTGTGAGTTGTAGTTACGTGCTAATTACGTCTTTGTTATTAATGACTGAGTTGGGTAATGATTTATTGAGTGAATTCAAATAAGAGAAGAAATGCACAATTCCAGTCATGGTATATTCATTCACAGACACGATTTCATTCACAGACATATAAACGTATTTCAAGCATTCATTAGCGTAATTTCTTACCAACTCCGAGATCATTTGATTAATTATCTAAGTTTAGATTCATCAAAGTTTACATAATTTAAAAATGCTTTTATAATTAATCCGCACATACCTTTATGGTTCAATATGTGCGCAAATTTTAAGCTTACATACTGAAGTGCTACGTTTGTGTCATGAATAAATGATAAGCTCTGAGCTTGCCCTTTTGATGACTAAGATCGGATTCCAATCTCGTGATTTGCAACTATGTAGATGCAATGACTGTATGCATTCTGATACTGATGGATGTTATGCAATAACTCACGCATGATCATTTGCATTCAGCGGACTCGAGGCATGCGTGCAATGTATATTGCTTGTCAACGGAAAATCATTGAAGCTGCTGGAAACCAGTCGAAATATTCTTGCTGATGACTGAATTGACAGCTAATCCAGTAACTATTGGTACGAATTGTTAACATATATTATTATGACGTCACACTAAATAGAGTTTCAGTACTCATGAGGTAACAATGAAATAAAGTGGTACCTGCTATTTTCCGAGTTTTGCTGATAGGAAATTCGTGTGATCGTCGTACACTTTCTTAACTGAGTGCAATAAAGAGTGGCTGCAATGCGAATGTAAGAGAAATGTAAGCTAATTTAGTTACTTTTACTCCGATTCACAATAAAAAGCTCTACTTCATTCGAGTGCGAATAGGCACGGATTGAAGTAATGATTCTATAAATTAATAATTTTATCATTCAATCCATAGTTTGATGTTGTTATAACTGCCGAGCTTCACCCTAGATCAATAAACTTACAACAAGATTAGCTTTTATTCTATTTTTTAACTAACTTAGCTAAGTTCTGTCAAATTTGTTAATCAAAGATTTATTCAAGTATTTGTAGGCGTAATAAAGTTAAAATTTTCTACAAAATTACAATTGAATTATTTGAACAAGAAAAGCATCAGTAACGTGGGGTATAGACTTCTACCCAGTGTAGAACGCCTTTAAACGAATCCATGATTTGAACACAGTTGTACCTGGTCGTTGAACATATGCACGGGGAGCGTGACGAGGTTGCTGCTTCGCACGTCCAGTTTCTTGAGGTGGGCGAGGTTTGTGATGTCTGGCAGGTACCGTAGGTTTGTGCCTATAGTCGTCAGCTCCTCGAGGCTCACAAGGTAAGAGAATACAGCTGATGGAGGAATAAATATCTTTGTTATTTATTAATATTAACATTATTATAATAATATTTTTTGTTGCGCACAAGGAAAAGATAATTCGGGCTGTATGAGCTGTAGCACCATCCTGCTGGAACCACACGTCTCCCAATGCTTCATTTTCAACAATGCTCTCCATCCTGGGCTGCAAGAAATTTTGCAACATTGCAGCATAGCGTTCGGAATTCACTGTCACGGTTACTCCCTCCTCCTCAAAGAAGTATGGGCCTATTACACCAAATTGCGAGAGGGCACACCAGACCTCTAGTTTGGGAGAATGTAGTGGTCTTTGATGGATAATTTGTGGGTTATCTTCAGCCCAGTAACGAAAATTTTGCTTATTTACAGTCCCACAGAGGTGAAAATGCTCCTCGTCACTGCTGAAGAACGCTGCGTCGGGAGCAATCTGTTCAAGCATGTTTTCGCACAGATTTTGGCGGCTGGCAAAGTCTGCTTCGTTCAATTGTTGGGCCATCATCGTTTCGAAGATATGGAAATGAACGGAAATGAACGCCATGACGTTCGTGCAGAACGTCATGGCGAGTGGATGACTGCTGCTCTCACCCTCTCGACATTTTCTGGTGTTCTGATGGACATGCGTCGGCCATGTGTATCTCTTCTTAGTGTGCTAAGAGTTGCCTCCAACTGCTTAACCCAGGACCGAATTGTGTTCGCCTGAGGAAGAGCATCATCGAGTGGAATATTGAACCGCTGCCGAAAAGCGTTGCAATCACGGACTGATTGTTTTCGAAATATGCGCGAACAGCAAAACCACGCTGTTCTCTTGACCACACCATGTTTGCTACTGAAATGGGAATAAGAGAGGGGCTGGAAAAAAGCACCCGCACACACATCCCCTTCTTTCCCTGCGAGCACTGACTGCTCTAAACTGCTCAATTGGTTCTGCCCCACCCTGTATATTGAGATTTTTTATGTGAAATTTTGATATGTTTGTGCTTAAGTGAATCGTCTTTCAAAAATCAATTAATCCAAATGCCAAAAAATTAATTCAAATTTATAGGAATAATTGTTCGTATAACGACCCAAAATTTATCTACAAATAAAATGCTCCATCAGGACGATAACTCACACTAATTAACTTTTAATAAAACCAATCTCATGCATAAGTTTAGAAAAAAAAAGTCAAAATGAAGATACCGGACAATCGAAACTTTTCACGTTGATGACGATACAAAAGCAATTTATTCAAATTAAATGCAAGATTTCAGAGAAGATTAATTTCTGATAAACAAGGTTCATTGTTTTCGCAGTGGTAAAATCAAAATAACTTGATGCTATATTTTTTCAAATCCGGTGCAATCAGATGAAATTAAATGTAATGGTAAAAAGAGTTCCAATATGACACAGTAAAAACCAATTAGATTTTTTATGCCAACTGCGTAAAGATGTTCAGAGAGCATCCGTGTTCGTCGGCTAGTGATCACCTTTGTTTTTTTAAGTGCAGGATACCAACCCATGTCGTGTTGCGGGTTTGGCGCTCTTGAACGTTCGGCCTTTACGATCACGTAAAGGCTCACTTACAGAACACTACTAGCGTTAACGTTGGTTACAGTGTTTGCTGTAAAACGGCACACATGCAGTGTATACTGATAAAGCATACAGTGAATGATGTATAGAGCATACATGCAAACAGGGCTGTTCCGACTTGAATTTAACTTTCTTTTTATGGTAAAAAATCGACGAAAACTTTTTTTTATAAGCTCACATAGGAGAAATATCTTTAGTTGGACAGTGACCAAACAATTTAGTTTTTCTTCCGGAATATCTGCAGCATAGGAAGTCTGTTTCAGGACTTTGTTTTTTTAAGTGCAGGATACCAACCCATGTCGTGTTGCGGGTTTGGCGCTCATGAACGTTCGGCCTTTACGATCACGTAAAGGCTCACTTACAGAACACTACTAGCGTTAACGTTGGTTACAGTGTTTGCTGTAAAACGGCACACATGCAGTGTATACTGATAAAGCATACAGTGAATGATGTATAGAGCATACATGCAAACAGGGCTGTTCCGACTTGAATTTAACTTTCTTTTTATGGTAAAAAATCGACGAAAACTTTTTTTTATAAGCTCACATAGGAGAAATATCTTTAGTTGGACAGTGACCAAACAATTTAGTTTTTCTTCCGGAATATCTGCAGCATAGGAAGTCTGTTTCAGGAAATCTCTTGCTATTCTCGCATCAATTGTCGCCGAACGCAGACGAGAATAAGAAATTAACTGTAATTGGCGAGCAATAAGGCGATGTTTAACTTAGGAAGGCGCGAGCAAAGGAAGATTACAACAAATATTTTGTGCTGTAATTTGCTAAGAAACTAAATAATACCTAAAGATCTGCTGAATGGAAACTTGTTATTAATTCATAATACTGATAGACAGTATATACTGAACTTTTCATTATTTTCTGAAGATTTCCGTAGAAAAATTTAAGTTTTTTGTTTCGAAAGGTGTCGACACTATGAAAACGAGTATTCCTTAGTTCCAGTACAATATCTCTGTCCAAACATGAGCAAACGTATAAGAGAATAATATTGACGATACAGATGTCACAGTACAAAGCATTAAAATTTCAACGCCGAGGAGATGAGTGATAACAGATTAATTTCCTTTAAAACTACAAGATATATTAGCAGGAGGCTCAATGAATAATGCCGATTAGTAAGAGAAATCATTTTACAACAGAATCACTCATAACATAATGAACAGAAATGCAATACGAGATCAGAAAAATCGTCTTCGTCACTGAAAATTAAAAACACATAGCGTAAGTACGGGGGATAAAAATAGACGAATGGATTAAATTACAGCTCAAAATTCTGCCTTCATCATGTATCTAAGGCTCTAATTCGCTCTAGTGCGCCGCTAGCAGGCATATGCGATATATGTTGATGAAGAATCATTACGGATCGGAGAGACATAAAATAGTGATGGTTTTTATCCCGCCATTTTCTTGTGGATCAAGTGAGTGATTTAATGGAGATTTTAGATGGTCTTATCGTTGCAATGATTTATTGCTAATATTTATAAAAATCCATTACCATCTACCGTTAGATATTATGTGGATATTTAAAGCTAATTTTCCAAGAAGAAAATTTTTCTAAACAGCTAGTGTTTACATAAAGCGACTGAACCAGCATGAAAGTACTCAGAAATTCGATTTCTGGCACAATAAATTAGACGCTAATGAAAGATAGAAACAGAAGACATGTATGTAGATCTATCTTCTTATCTATCTATAGAGATAAAGATAGGTAGCTGATTCATCTAAATAAGATTCATCTAAATTGTGAACATGGAATGAGTAAATTGAAGGTGATGCATTTGCAAAACATGGTCATAACGCTCAGAAAACTTATTGTATAAAAATATTGTATTATATAAATTAAGTGTTGTATAAAATTTCAGGCTTATTTTAAAGGGAATAAATCTAGCTAAAAATGGCAAATATCATACACTGATATTGACTGAACAGATAATATGTTTTTTTAAAAAAGCGAGAATATCGTAAAATTTTGTGTCAGGTTCATAATATTTTCTTAAAATGCTCACGTATTAATTATTGTGCATGCCAGAGGGTTGGTGATAAGTCATTGAAATATGCTTGATAAAGAAGCCTCGAAAACAAAGTGGGATGTTTTTTGGGTCTATTTGGGCGGAGATATGGAGTTTTCATATATTATAACTATCACGTCTGAAGATAATGAAATAGTGGCAATCATTAGTACTCACCTCCATTATTGTGTTAAATTAATCAAACCTGAATTCCTACAAACCAAAGATTAATAAAGCCGCTTCCTAAAAGTGTTAAAAAAGAATAACGAAAGTGCTTGTCAAAAGTGTTAAAAGTACAATCTGAAAAGGTTATTATTTGTGGAACCAGGTATAGAAAAAATAAAAAATGTAATATAGATGTAACATTAATATATATGTAATATAGATGTAACATTTTAACATTAATGAGGAGAGGCACATATCCAAAAATCCTAAATAAGAGGCTCATTTAAAACAATTATCAGCCTTTCATACTTTGTTGTTTGATCTAATTGGACGGTTCTACGAAGTTATTATTATTATTATTGATGAATTAAAGACTCCATAAGTCAAGTTGCGCTCACCAGATTCCAGGGCCAGATTGAGATTGTGGTCCAGAGCGAGCACCTTAAGTTCGGTCATGAACTCAAACGCAGTCACGTCGATGAAAGAAAGTTGGTTGTTGTCCAGCCGCAGCTCACGCAGCTCAGTCAGCTCAGCCAGGGTGGTGGAGCGAATGTCAGTCAAGCCGTTGTGGCTCAACAACAGTTCCGAAATGTTCAAGCTCTATTCAAAATGTAAGAATTAATTTTGCTGTAACGCGCTTAGAAACTCCTGAAATGCGTTAGACTTCTCCTCATTTCAAACAACATGATTAATTGATTATTCATCATATATATTTGAAGTAAGATTTCTAACAATGCTCACAGAACAAGAAGTAAGGAAATAATATTTTACTAAATTACTATGTACTGAATAGCAGAAGGCAAAACTATTTTGTTAATAATACATTGAGAAACAAATCCTGATTGAAAGGCAAATACGATTTTTACGGGCTTGATTTGTTCTGAATCCGAAAATATTCCCGGAGAAAAGGGCACTAACCACGTTAATCAGCTTGATCAGACAATAACATAGGTGAAAATAAAGAATTCATCTTAGTGAATGCTAAGGTAGATTTTTAGCATGAGCGTAGCTCCTTAATCATCGGATTACATCCGAATATTGTGATATTTCGAATTATCCACAGTAATTTACATTTCGGCCGTTTAACAACCCTATTATGGCTATATCATGCAAGGTCTCTACAGCAGCAAAGGGAAACTCTACAACTTCTGAAAATTTAAGATTTTAACATAATTTAAACTATTACTGCCATGACCAATAGTCTTAGAAATGGTTATAAATTTCTTAGGAACATTGCTCCTATCGTCTTCAGGGGCAGGATTTCGACACCATAATGTTGGAAGCAGGCTTCTATTTTCCACCTGGTATACAGTCTGCAGCATTCATCGTCACTTAATCATATGGAGAGCAACATTAGCCTTATCATATTTAAATAGATCGTACAATTATATACATACGTTGGTCAAGCAGTCTGCCGGGAGTAGGTATACAGTCTGCGGCATTCATTGGTATTTGATCATATTAAGGGCAACATATTAGCCTTATCATATTTAAATAGATCGTACAACTACATACATACGTTGGTCAAGCAGTCTGCCGGGACCTGGACGAGTGACAAGAAGCTGCAGTCGATGCGCTGCATGCCAGGGTAAGCGACCGATGCGGAGACATCGCACAAGCAGTCACCCGCTACAGGCACGGCAACGTACGCTGCTAGCAGCAGCACTGCCATCGTCTGCCACGGCTCTACCTGCCACCATAGCAAAAACACACTGAAATAACAACTACAACCTGTGCAATTACTAATTAGCTTTTTTAAAATTATCATACAAAAGAAAATGCTTTATTCTTACATAAATTTATAGTTTTCCCGATATCGATATGTTAAAAATTTAATTTCATCATCTCAGTCAAATTGGAAAATATTCAGTCGTAAAATATTCTCAGTCAATAATGCACGACAAAAATATTCTGAAGAATCTCGAATAATTCAATGTATACATTGTTAAATGAAAAATTAATAATTTATGGTGACGATTCTCATTAATTATTCCATAAATAAGACGAATATATCGATTGAAATGCGTTCAGAAGTGAATGAAGATTATTAGAGGGAATCTAAACCAGTGTAGAATTTAAAATTCTACCAAGGCTATTCAGAGAACTTGGCCATGAATTTAACAAATTCAAACAGCGAGCTTTGACAGTAGTTTAACTTTTTCGGACAGCATTTTATTTTAGCCAACTATAAGTCACATGAAGGAGAGTTGTAAGATCAAAGACTTTGATCTGTCGAGTGTGAATACAACCAAAGGCGGGTGATGAAAGCGCAATTATAGAACGTCATGAGATACATGGCAAGCAGGCTCGACAGCTTGACTTCTCGCTTCAGCATTTGCGTAAAAATGCAAGCTACGTCGCTACATTATCTAAGCTGCCCAAGCAGACAAAAAGATATCGGGTTTGACCGACAACGCGTAATGTTTCAACTCTTTCTTTTATGTAACAAACAATCGTCGAAATTTTTTATGCGGATAATTTATATTTTCTTGTTCATTATGAACATACGTATACGTTTTCTTGTTCATTATGAACATATACGTATGCGTTTTCTTGTTCATTATGAACATACGTTTAAGTATTCTTGTTCATTGTAAACATAGGTTTACGTTTTCATGTTCATATTGAACATACTTTTACGTTTTCCTGTTCATATTGAACATACTTTAACGTTTTCTTGTTCATTATGAACATAGGTTTACGTTTTCTTGTTCTTAATGAACATACGTTTACGTTTTCTTGTTCTCTCAAATGAACGCAAAGACTGATGAGCAAAATTTTAAACTTTGCTTTCCATTAACCCTTAAAATTATCTGAGCATATTTTCCCGTTTAATACCTTCATTTTTGGAATGATTCTAATGGTCTTAATGAAGTTAAACCCTCCTTTGAGGTTGAATGACAAATTGATTTTGAATGTTCTTGATAGATTTCACACACAAGAAAATTTAATATTTATAGAGTTAAAGTGAAATCGTTCGATATGTTTTCACTGGCACGAGGAATTCTGTACACAAACTTCTGCTGTTCTGGGCCCAATACACGAGTAAGAATAAGTGTAGCTTTTTATCACTAGAATGATGACCAAATGTTCGGTTCTCAAGATTGGTGCGTGGAACCCTATCAGATAAGATACTTCTTATATGAGCTCATAGACAAGAATATAACGTTAGTTTTGAACAGCTTTTCGCAATTGTCTTTTACAATAGTTAATAAATCTGAGATCATATGACATTCAAGGGTTATTGACTACAAATTGTACATTGTGTTGATTAAAATACCTACCGTTAATTACACATTATATAGTTACCATTAAGCAGATACAGCACAAAGCTCGCCGTCTAAAAACAGCAACCGGTCGCGGTCAGAATAAAGTTTTGTAGGGTTTGAAAACAACGTGATTAGTACGAAGCTGTTTAATTGCGCTAGAAACAAATGTGTGGTTCAGTTTCATTTGTAAAATAGATCATTTCTATTGAAGGCCGGCAACTTAAGTGCTGCATGTGGCGGCGTTATCGGCATTGACGGTTCTTAAATCAGCGAAAAAAGTATCAACATATCGACGGCACTGTAATCACTGTAAACTTTTAAGACAACGTCTTAGATAGCAGAATAATACGTATATGTAGCATTTTGCCTTTTATTATATTCTGTTAATGCTGTATTCAAGCATCACCAGGCGATAATAGGTTGAGGCAAACTTTGGTTTATTGAATTGGCAAAAATGTACGATTTTTGCAAGCAAAAATGCAATAACAAAGAATATACCCATTCACAATAATAATAGCATGAATAACGTCACAAACGATTTTCGCAACAATGCTACGTAATAAATAGTCAAAATATATAAAAGAATACGCTTATGAGAATAAAATTGAGCGTGTGTAATGCATTTAAGACTCATGAATCACCAATGACTTTGTCCCAAATAGACAAACTTTGGTCAGCACAAGTTTCATGGTCATGAAATATCAACATTGCAGTCATGACACGCTTCCTCATTCGACAATACTGCTCGTGCGAAATCTAACTATAAATTATTATTCTGCATTATTATTATAAATTTAAATTATTATTTAGAATAACAGCATCAATAACAACCGTTATATGTTAGGCTCAAAATGAGTATAGGTGCGATAGTGGAAAAAAATATACATTAAACACTTCCCCTTCGCAGTAGTCTGTTAAAATTTGTTAATATATCATTTGTTAAAGCATCTCTAACATGCTCAGGAATTAAAGTCAGAGAACTGCAATGAAACTCATCAGATCTCTGTAGAAAACGCTCCCCAGCGATCAGCGTACGATGGAAATTTATGAATTCCTAAAATAAATTAGCACTTCAGCACACAGCTGAAATTAAAAATAAATTGAATTTTAACGCCTTAGCCACTAGAAATAATCATGATTAGACAAAACTATTTATTAACAATTTTTAAGAGATGAGAACTAAAACTGGCATTCAAACTTCTGCGTTAAAAATGCGCATGGATTCTAAAATGAGCAAGACGGGATCAGTGCAAGTGGAAGCTAAAATATTAAATCACTATAGGATATACTGTATAAGTTGCACTACTCGCCATGCAATTGCAAAGCGCAATTGCAAGATGATATTGACTGTTTAGTTAACTGGGCTGATACGTGGCAGCTGCGGTTTAATGCTGACAGGTGTAAAGTACTTCACCTCGGGAAGAACAATGAACAGCAAGATTACAGAGTGAGAAGACATGGTTGCAACGAGAGAATAATGAATGAAAAGTCTAGTGTGGAAAAACGTCTCGGAGTTTATGTCGACAAGGAGCTGAAATTTGTCTAAGCATGTTGAAACGCAAGCTAACACATCCAACAAACTTCTTGGACTAATCAGACGCTCATATACGAGTTCCTAGTTGCAGAAGCAATGAAGCAGTTGTTTGTTGCTGTCGTGCGCCCGAATCTAGAGTTTGGAAACGTTGTGTGGTCACCGAGATTTGAAAAGAACAAAAATTTAATAGAGAATGTTCAAAGACGTGCATCAATGATAATTCCAGGCTTGAAGGGCAAGTCCTTTGAAGAAAAATTAAAGATTATGAAGCTTCCAAGTCTCAGATATCGACGTCTGCGTGGGGACCTTATTGGAGTATACAAGTACATATACTCATGCTTTATTCAAGGTCCCAGAAGGATTACTAGAATCTGAAACAAGAACCAACCAACACCAGGGGTCACGGCTATAAACTAAAGAAACTGCTCTGCAACTTATCCACGCGACAACATTTCTTCTCGCTTCGTATCACCGACATGTGGAACAGCCTCCCTTCTTACATCGTTGGCGCTCCGAGTATGAACGCGTTCATGAACAGGCTAGAATAGATGAAGCTATGGATTATGTGGAGCTATATCTTCAGACTTGAAATGCCTATAGCCCCATATCGAACCCGGTGTAAGTCTAGTAGCTATTAAACACATCCAACAAACTTCTTGGACTAATCAGACGCTCTTACGAGTTCCTAGATGCAGAAGCGATGAAGCAGTTGTTTGTTGCTGTCGTGCGCCCGAATCTAGAGTTTGGAAACGTTGTGTGGTTACTAAGATTTGAAAAGAACAAAAATTTAATGGAAAATGTTCAATGACGTGCATCAATGATAATCAAAGGCTTGAAGGGCAAGTCCTATGAAGAAAGCTTAAAGATTATGAAGCTTCCAAGTCCCAGATATCGACGTCTGCGTGGGGACCTTATTGAAGTATACAAGTACATATACTCATGCTTTATTCAAGGTCCCAGAAGGATTACTAGAATCTGAAACAAGAACCAACCAACAACAGGGGCCACGGCTATAAGCTAAAGAAACTGCGCTGCAACTTATCCACGCGACAACATTTCTTCTCGCTTCGTATCACCGACTTGTGGAACAGCCTCCCTACTTACATCGTTGGCGCTCCGAGTATGAACGCGTTCATGAACAGGCTAGATGAAGCTATGGATTATGTGGAGCTATATCTTCAGACTTGAGATGACTATAGCACCATATCGAACCCGGTGAAAGTCTAGTAACTATTTCAAACTATCGTCAGTCTTGAGATGATCCGGTCAAATGATACGATTTTCGATTTTCTGTGAACAAGGCAAGAAAAGTTCAGGAATCGGCGACAGGCGACATCAGGCCTACTCTTCAGCTCCGAGATCACTATGTTATGTTATGTTATGAATGCGTAAAACTGAATGAGGAGAGTGCGTTAGTATATTTTCATTTTGATAAGTCCTCCATTTATGCCACGCCCGTCTAGTATACTATTTCGTGCTTCATGCCGACCACTCGTCAAAGTAATTATTCAATAACAATGCGTAAAAAGGGAACAATGCGTAAATGTTTTCATTCGGAAGATATTTAATAAACAAAACTTCCAATTCCTTTGACATAGTCTCAGATTTTGCGTATAGGGAGCTTAGCAGGAAAAAATATTCGTATAAACGCACTAGCAAACAATTTCATGATATAACTTTAACTAACTGAATTTATTGATTGGAGTAAATACCAGGTGGGGCGGAAACCCATTTAGCGAAAACGAATTCCGCGAAAATTCAAATTCAGAGTGCATTGCATGGGAAGACTTCTATTTACCAGTTTGAGCATGAGTTTTGCTTCAACGATCTGAATGAACAAACGTTTAAATTTAAATGAGATTGAAATATTAACCTACCACGGCTTTTGGATTTGTTCTAACATCCATGCAATTCATTTCAAATTTGAATTTTTGTCCAATATCTTCTCGCTCATTGAGTTATCGTCACATCTGGTGTTCACTGCAGAAACTCACGTCTCACAGATAACCTGAAGACTATCCCGAGCGTAATAATGAGAACCTCGTCCATTGTTCCTTTCCATACTTTGGTCCCTCACGGATATCTAGATGCCGATTTATTTCGTTGTCAATTCCTGTATCAAATGAATTGAAAGTTTTACTCACTAAATGCCCGCCTTCTTGCATATCTTCATGTCCTATTAATGAAGAATTTCAGAGATTGGTTCATACATCAGTTATACGTTTTTTACGTTATTTTTTTCATGTTGGGTATGGAATCACCCAACTTATTTTCCAGATTGGCTGAGCACAAGTGAGGAGTTATCGAAATTAATGTTAAATAACACAACCTTCTAATTATTTTATACGCATTCTCACCGAGCAGTGCCGCGACTCGGCTGCTATAGATAGGGACTTTAAAATGTTTGCTTCCACTTTCGGTGGCACTGCATATCAAACGAATTTAGACCCCCTGTATTTCCTTTAGCAGAAGCCTTGACTGAATGCCTCCTTCATATCTTATACTAATGGAATTTTGAATATCTAGGTTTATCTGCTTTCGATCTTTTTTCATTTATATTCTTTGTGATCATTTTCGGTTAATTTTAGTGTTTCTAAGTTACTCATGAAATAGATTTTCGACTTTACAATGGAGCGGAACTCCACTTGATGTTTCCGATGAAAGTAAAGTGAATTTTTGCGACAATTTCTTTATATTTCTAATGTCTTTATTTCTCTCTTTATATTTCTTTTGCGACAATTTCAGAATACTTTAATAACTTTGTATTTCGATTAATAGAAAAATTTTTATTTTTAATATGACAAGATTTAGAAAAAATCCTGCAGCCGAGCTCAGAATAATTGATGCAGAAAAATTCTAATTTTGCTTTGTCTTTTGAACTTTTCAGTTAGCATATGGTAATTAGAAATTATTATGATATGTCACTTATGTCGCAAAATTTACTGAATGAAAACCAAAAATTTAGTTGTAGTTAGTACTACAGGAAGAATATTTACATGTGAATCGTTATGAAAAGCCAAACGAACATTAAACTGAAATTTCTTCATAACCGTTCAACACAGCGCTCCTTGTATAGAATCCCTAAGCTATCTTGAAATATCCTGCAGGATCAAATGCATGACCAAATGAGCAGTTTAGAATATTAAAGCAGCGTTGCCATAAGCTTACTGAGAGTGCTAAACTATGAACGTTTATCAGAGGGTGCTTAGCTGAGGGCTATGATCCGTA